AAACCATATGTGTCATTGGCTCTTGAAGCAATTAACTTCTGGAAGACACCCAATAATGGAGTGAGCTCTTGAGGGTTTGATACAAACGGTGTTGGATCATGTGCCATAATAGCAATAAGTAATCTGGTGATACCCGGAACATTTCCTCTATATTCCCATACAGCCGGAGACATAAGTGGCTTGACCAATGTTGAATATTGAGCTGGTAATGGGTTAGACTTTGGCAAATTTTCTAGCAAATATGCTAAAATCTGGAAAGTATATGGAACAAATTCCTGAACATCCTCGCTCAATATTTGAAGCAAAGATGGCATGATCGAATTGATGTAGTTGTTAACACGCGAAGGATCAGAGCCAAATTTGATCAATAGACCCATACTTTCAAACACGTAATGGGTGAATCTGGGATTTGCGGGGTTCTTAGCAATGATACTCAAAATGCTCAAAAATTGCTCGATCACTGTCATTTTGAATTTCTCATCAATGGTATCCTCAGCTGTATTCAAAACCTGCATCACAGTTTTGATCAAAAACTCATTCTCTGACAATTTTTCTGGCGCAGAGTGGCTCAAAATAAGTGGAAACAAATTGTTCAATAAGTCATGAATGAAAGGCTGGATATCATGCTTGTCAAAGACAAGGGTATGTTTTGCATTTGTGAAGCTTGTCATTGAAAACAATTTGTCAAGAGTGATGGCCGCATAAGTATACACAACAACGTTGGGGTTCTTTAAATGGTTTATAAGAAGGGGAATAGTAGTGATAAGTTGCTCCTTTGTTAGTTGGTTGCGGAAAGTCATGATATACTTGACAGCATCTGTCTTTAAAATTGGTGCTGCATCATTCATCAAGTAGGTGGCGATATTATCAGTGAAAAACTGGACAACATCAACCAACATATTAGTTGATGTAACACCAATGTTTGTCACACTGCCCTTGGCAGCCAAAGACGTAAACAAGTATATTGCGATATCTTTGTTTCTCCAGTCAGAATGAGTCAAAAATTGGTTGACATAGTGCATGACAGTACTGGTTAATAACTGGGTGTTCACTTCCTTTAATTCTCTCAAAAAATCTGTAGATGATTTTCTCCTTGAGTCAAAATCAGAACCTTCTAAATCAGATCTGACATATGTAATAGGTTCATCCTCGAACGTTTCTTCGTCAACGTCTCTAAATGCAATGTTAGGTAAGATGATTTTTTCAATGATCTCTTTTATCGCTTGCTCATCGTTGAAGAAAGTCTGGTACTTGACAATTTTCGAAATAGATGTCAAAAACGACAAAGCTTTGACTGCCAACAAGTCGAATTTTTGTTGCTTAGTTACGTATGAGTCATGTGATCAACTCCCAAACGCTTGTGATGAAATTTTCAATCATCGGATCGAACTCTTCTGCATATCTCGTGATGTATAAAGAGACCAACTCAATGATAGCTGTTTTTGTTTTGATGAGCACGTCTATCTCTTCGTCATCGCTTGCATCACCAATAAGGGTAGTATTGAAGTTCAAATATTTGTGCATAATGGACATTCCCGTAGCCATATTGTCTTCGAAAAACTCAGGAATATCCTGACAGTTCAAATCATAATAGATCTGAACCATCAAAAGCATGCACTCCATATATATGTTGACTGAAGCAGCGTCGTTTTGAGACACAGCCTGAACAATGAGCTCGTCAGTTCTTGTCAACATCGCCAAAAATGGTTGAGCAAACTTGTCTAGAACCATCTTGATTTCTGTAAACAATTCATCAGAGCGGAACAATGGTCTCCATTTCTTGAAGATAGAATGAGCAACTAGTAATATGCCCTTGTTCAAAACAAAGTCTGTAGCTGATAACTTTCCAACCAAGTCATCAATTAAATTTTCCCATCTGTGAGGAAAGTCCAGCTCGGCAATAATGGAGATTGTTTTCGCCCAACTGGATCTGCAAATTATTTGGCAATTTGATCATCACATTCAAGATCTCGTTTTTTAAGATTACTGGTACGTCTTACCTGAAACAACAAGTACTTCGCCATTCCTCGTTAACCCACTTGCGCTTTGATGAGATTTTTCAAAAACAATGGCGGCAAGCAAGGCCTTACTGCCGAATCCAAGTTCGTCGATGCCACTACATGTAGCAAATTTATGGCAAAGTGGGGTTGGGATTCAATAGATCTCAAACGAGCTTCGGCTTGTTTTGCATTACGAGGATCAAGAGACTCCTTCAAATACTGAGGAATTGATTCCAAGCTATTTTCGGCCATTCTAGGGAAACAGAATAAAGGAACACTTTTGTCTGCTGCACAATTGATGTGGTGTGAGAGAAATCCTTAGATGAGAATGGAAGTCGCTTTTTTTCTGATTTGGTTTGCTTTGTATGCCTTACTTAATATACACATCTCATGAATTGCTTGCCGAAAATAAAAACACAAGGGACAGAAAAAAAGTGCCATTGATTAAAAATGAATTAGATATTAGGCGACACCTTCAAAAACAAGAGGAAATGCCTGCCTATGATGTTCTTCTTTAGAAAGAATGCTATATTCGCATCAATGGTATTAAAACGCAGAAAGCATTATTTCTGAAGTCTATACATGTTGCGAGATTTGTGCCTCGATACTCAAATAAAAAGATCTATAGTTTCCGACACACTGTGAACTTACTTTGGCAAGTTTTGGGTGTTTTGCTTTTGTTGGTTTTGCTTAGCAACAGCGTAAACCAAACCAGAAATGAAACCAACAAAAATGGAGGAAACAGACCAGAAGTTAACAGCAGCATCAAAGAAAACCAAACCAGACAAAGCGATTGGCAACTTGTTCAAAGCGCCGACCATGGAGTAAGTAGTAGAAGAAGTCACCCTAACACACCAAGCAGAGCAGTAGGAGATACCCACGGAAGAAGCACCAGAGAAAATCATGGCAAAAATGGTGGCAGCTCTGTTTTCTGCAGGGAAGTTGACGGCAAGGTTAGCGGCAGACCAATCTTCGAAAATGAAAGAACAGATCAAAAGAACTGGAATAGACAACAAGTTGTTGTAGTACATAGTGTCAAAGTCCTTAAAGTTGGTCAACTTGATTCTAATTCTCATGTACAAGACGAACGCAGCCGAGGCAAAACAGTTGGTAAACATCCAAAAATAGCCAAGGTACAAAGAATACATGTCGTCTTGAGTCTTGACACTTGCGGAGTCACCATATGTGGCAAGAACAGAGGAGAAGACCATCAACAAAAAGGAGCCCAAGGCCATTGTGGTGACCTTACCGCCAAACCACAAAACTTCACCGTAGGCAATCAAAATGATGGTCAAGTTCTTGAAGATGGTGTAAACTGGAATAGACAAGTACACCAAAGCCTTAGAGGAGGTGTAGATCATAGCAACGAGAAGAAGAGCAATAGGAAACCACTTCTTGGCCTCATCTTGGTTGAATTGTCTGTAAGTGATGACACCGAACTGCTTCAAAGAGCCGATGGTGAAAATACAAACAATACCTTGGACGGCCAAGAGGAAAAAGTTCAAGTTGAAGCTGTAACCAGAAAGAACGTATTTGTTTGTCACAGTCATCAAGATCGATGAAAGACAGTAACAAAAAATCGACAATGGTGCCGAGTTGGCGATGGAGGAGGTGGCAGTACCGCCAGCGACAGGAGAGTAACCAGACTTGTCCATTTTCTTTTTAATTAAATATCCCACTTGTGCTATTAGGTAGAACAGAATAATTCCCATACACTGATGAGAAAAAGGTTGTGTGAAAAAACAAGTGGTGATTCCAAGAAAGAAAGAAACAAACAACCAAGAACCAGGAAAAAAAACCTCCAAACAAACACGCCCAACGTGGTTTAACGTGTATAGAGTGCGATAACCAAAAAAGTGTGTGCAGGCAAACAAGATTCAGGTTTTTGTTTTGCATAACAAGGGGCATTCTCTATGTTAGGAGAGCGCAAGAGAAGACTTTGACTCCTCCTGCCGACACTGTGCCAATTGTGTTAAACTTGTGCTATATTTTACATAATCTTTTGCCTTCTGTCTTTTACACCTTTTTTTCCCCATAAGTTTCCCTCCTAGTTATTTTGTTTGCCTGTATTCCACAGCTAACTCAAATACGAAGCGTTGGTGGTTGGATACTTGTAGACACTCCCGCGGCCCAGATCGGTAATATTGCCTTATCGTTCTGAGTTGCGGCTCTCGGATTCAAAAACACAAATAGACATGGAAAAGGTGATTGGATATAAGGAACAGCAAAAAAGGAAAATAAGAGAGAGGACACGTTTTTAAAGCAAAATCAACTATCGAATGATCGCCTGTTAAGTATGGCACACATGTTTACGAGAAGCTCGAACCTCAGCCAGGATAGTGCATACTCCCCCAGCCATAATGTGCCGAAACCCATATTTGACGCAGTTCGCGCAGATGAATTGCCTGATAGAAAACAGGGACACATTACTCGGATACAAGAAGACCCGTTGCCAGAAAGGAGGTAGCACCTCATTTGGAATAATAAAATTAGTAAAATAAGCCACACACAGTCTATTGCCCCGGCTTTTTGCGTTTGACGTAATGCGTTTCGTGTATTTGACATGTTTCGTCAATAATAGCCTGCACTATGTGGCTTGCGCTCGTAACCGTGACCAACCCTTACCTCTCAATCATGGTTGCTTGCCATAGGTAACTACCGGTATAAATTGTCGAACATTTCCAATTGTAGTGGACAGTAACAAATCATCATGACTCTCTCCAAGCACGTGAACGCCGAAAAAATCGAGGACAGTGTCCTTGCAAAAAGCAAAAAGATCCACCTTAATAACCACGAGGAATATATATTCCGGTTCAGCTCAAATCAAAAGGTGCCCAAGCATGAAATCCCCATGGATTCCAGTGATGCCAATTTGGTGTACAAGTACATCAGACAGGGCTTGTCTCTCGATGGAATCCCCAGTCTCAACTTGGCATCCTTCGTGAACACTGATGTGGATGAAATCGCCCAGAAATTGATCTCCGAGAATCTTGTCAAGAACTTGGCAGACAATGATGAGTACCCATCCTTGATTGAGTACCAGGAACGCTGTATTAGTATTTTGTCTAATATGTGGCATGCGCCAAAAGGTTCAGACGGTGTTCCAAAGACTGTGGGTACGGCCACTACGGGATCTTCGGAAGCGATTATGTTGGCCGGTTTGGCATTGAAGAAAAAGTGGCAAGAGAAGAGAAAGGCCGAAGGAAAGTCAACGGAAAACCCCAATATTTTGATGGCTTCTGTGGCCCAAGTGGCTTTGGAGAAGTTTGCCCGTTACTTTGACGTGGAAAACAGAACAATTCGTGTCACAGAGGAATCTGACCACTTAATTGACGTTTCTGAAATCAGAAAGAATGTTGACGAGAACACCATTGGTATTTTTGTCATTATGGGCTCTACTTTCACTGGTGGATTTGAGCCCGTAGAGAAGATTGCCAATCTGTTGGATGACATTGAGAAAGAATCGGGCTTGGATATCAAGATTCACGTGGACGGTGCATCTGGCGGCTTTGTTGCACCATTTGTCTATCCCCACTTGAAGTGGGATTTCACTATCCCCAGAGTTGTGTCTATTAACACCTCGGGCCACAAGTTTGGATTGACCACAGCTGGTTTAGGATGGGTCATTTGGCGTGAGTTGGACCGCTTGCCAGAATCTTTACGTTTCAAGTTGGACTACTTGGGAGGTGTCGAAGAGACTTTTGGGCTCAACTTTTCTCGGCCCGGTTTTCCCGTTTTGCATCAATACTTTAACTTGTTGACGTATGGAGTGGAAGGTTATGCTAAAATCTACCACAGTTGTCTTCGGAACGCAAGAGTATTGTCGCAAGTGTTGGAAGAGACAAAGTACTTTGAGGTTTTGTCTGTAATTCACAAGCCAATTGGAAAGGAGGAGAAAGAGAAAACGTACACATTGAAACACGACCCTCGGTTGAAGCACAGAGCAGAGGGCACCATTAACGAAGACTTCAAGCCAGGATTGCCTGTTGTTGCGTTCCGGTTCTCCAAAGAGTTTAGAGAAAAGTATCCCGAGATTCCACAGGCGATGATCTCATTGTTGTTGAGAAACAAGCAGTTTATTGTGCCCAACTACCACTTGACTCCCGACGAGCAAGATAAAGAGATTTTGCGTGTGGTTGTTCGTGCTTCGTTGGACTTGAACTTGATTGACAAGCTCATCGATTCCATTGTGGAATCGACAGAATTGCTTATCCGTGCTCACGAGAATGTGATTAGCGTGCTCAAGCACAAGAACTTTGCCTCGGAAGAGGAAAAGAAGAAGATTATCTACGATTTGCTACTCAGCATCACATCGAATGGAGTCACTGATGCAAAGGCATTGCAAACCGCTCGCTTGGATAAGCCGGGCACGGGCCACCACAAGCACAAGAAGTCGTACCGTGGTACATGTTAAGCGAGAGCAATTAACAGCAACACGGTGAGAAAAGGTGACATCAAATGAGCCGACTTCAAAAGTACATGAGACGTTTGAATTGAGTACAGCGCCGAGCATACATTGATTACCGGCAAGGTATACGATGCAAATTAGCGCGCTCGGTCGAAAATGGAATTTCTCTCAGGGCATGCGCAATGAACCTGCCCACAGAAAAACGAACCACACCCTATATGTATTTAAATTGTTATGGTTTACCGATTGTTTTCAATCTTTCTGTACTTCTTTGCACGTCGTTTGCACCGTGTATGTTCGCGTGGACAGTCTTTTTTGATGTGAGTAGGGAGAAGAAAGTGTACCTGAATCTGCCTTCACCCCACGTACCTGTAGCCCTGTACATGGATCAATCATGCAGCAGCAATCCAAGGCCATTGGTCTTAAATAGAGCTCTTTTCGTCGCCGCCCTTCGTAGAATCTTTTAATATTCCCTCAAGAAACCCTGGAAATTTCTCCTCTGATCGCAATGGCTTCTCAAAACGATCTTCTCGTCCACAAAGTGGCCACCATCCTCTCTTGGGTGCTTGCAGTATACGCGACTTTCAGATACTTTGTTGGAAGATCGCCCTTTGATAAGCACAACCCATACCATGTGGGCGACACACCATATAGCTCGAACCTCGTGTTCACTTTGTTGTACTGGGCGGTTCTTTTCCTTTCCCAGATTGCGTTCGTCACCCAAATCTTTTTGCCTGCGGCAGACAGCTCTAGCGTGACCAACAGAAATGCTCTCACCAAGCTCGTTGGCTGGCACTTTACCATTTTCAACTTGGGTGTTTTCGTGTGGACATTGTTGTTTGTTAAGCACCACTACTTCTGGTCTGAGGTTATTTTGGTGCTCAACTTTGTCAACATTTTGCTGTTGTACTTCACCCACAAGACTTATGCCATTACGCCATTGAGCAACTGGTTTTTGATTCACTGGCCAACTGCCGCCTTGCCATTCTCCTGGTTGTTCTATGCCATTTTCTGGAACGGAGCGGTGTTGTTCCACGTGCACAAATTTGTTGGCAGAGTTATCGCCAACATTACCATCTGGATGTTCTTGTTTGTTCCAGGATTCTTCTTGGCTGTATTCAATGACTGGGCCGTGGGTCTTTCTTCGAGTGCATTGATGTTCAGTTTGGGTGTGGGCCAGGTTATCACCAAGGCTTTCGCTTTGCAGTGGATCTTTGCCTTTGTCATTGCCAGTGTCTTACTCGTGCTCAGTTTGATCGTTGCTGTCACCGGCTCTCTCACCAAGAAGTCCACTGACACTGAAAGCGCTCCATTGTTGCAAAACTAAATGACGTAGTGTCATGACTCAAGTCTGCAAGAAAAATCGGAATTCCATGGCTTGTTTATAGCTTTTTAGTAACCCGATTGACGTTCAACGCACTGATATTCTATTTGTAAGTTATTTAGACTCCAAAGCTAATCTAGCAAGTTCCATAACCGCATCTTGCGTTTCAGCTCCGCCAATAAAGCCTGCAGCATGAACGAAAATGCATCCATCCACACCAGTCAATTTGGACAACTCTTCGTCTCTCACACCTCTCCATGGTTCAGGAAGACCGAATCTGAACTCGAAACTAGTGGAGGTCACTGGAACGGTAGAGATACGCCATTTGGAACTTGAGTCTGAAAACAAGACAAACTTGATGGATCCTTGGGCGTTGTTCTCCTTTTCAATGGCATAAAGATGCTCCTTCCATGGGCAGAATTTCCCCAATACGAGGATTTCGCCCGATTTATGAGTGTCAAAACGACTCTTAAATGCTTCTTCAACAATATCTCTTGCTGGCAACCACAGCTGTCCGTAACCTTTGACCAAGTTGAGGAAAGCCAGGCCCATCAACTCACTGGCCTTTTCAAAAGCCTCGTCAAAGTCTTTGTCTACAGGGTCGACGTTCCAAGCTGGGTTCAAGTGAGAGACAAGTGCTGGAAGACCCAAATTCTTGTCATTAAACTTCTTTTCAACATCAGATGGATAATTATTGATACCATTATCATTCGCATCAATCGCCTCGATGAATTCCTTATACACCTTCAAGTAAAGAAGCTCAATGTCGCTAGGCTTCTTCAAATCAAGCACGTGTTGAATGATTTCTTTACCAAAGTGCTTGTAGATCAAACCGGCAGACGAAAGCTTGGTTTGAAAGTTCTGCGAGAATGTCTCGCTAAATTCACGCTGATGGTGATCAAACCACTTGATTCCGCCGTCGTATTTTCCTCCAACATCAACAACAATGTCGGATTCTTCCCAGTCGGTGGGGTTTCTGGATCTCACCAACTGAGAGCCTTGAAACTTCGGCAAAAGTCTCAAAAGATAAACAGCCAAACTTTCATCTGCGTGAAAGGAGCCAGAATGGGTACAGATTCTCATGGTGCTAGAGTCAAGCTTGGGCTTCTTAGCGTCTGACATGGAAAAGGTTTTAGATGGCCATCTCTATATATGCAGATTGCCTTAGTATGCATTGGAGTCCACACGACTCTCTACACAATGGCTTACAATTGTTTCTCTGGATTCGTATGGGCATTGAAATGTATACTCATTACTTCAGGCGCAAGAGCAGACTTTGAATTTTGTTTGCAACTGACTAGTGTGGGACCAATCAGCCAGAGCCTGTAGTAAGCATGCACTCCGATGTGTGATAATGCGAAATGACAGAACGCAGAATTTGCAATCGCGATATATCGCCGCGATTCATGATGAATGGTAGAATAATGTTACATAGAAGGGAAAAAAAAACTTAGTCGCATGCAAAGTATATAAGATTATTTGTAATCACAGAGAATACTCGATTTCAAGGTCACTGTCGCTGTCCAGAAGTTCGATAGTCGGTGTTTTCTTGGCCTTCGGCAGCAAGGCTGACAGCACATTCTTTTCTCTTTGGTTTCCTTTGGAAATAAACGACACGTTTTCCTTCCATTTCAACTGCTTCTCACGCTCTGCCTCTTTTGAAGGCTTCAAGCTCACCTTTTTCCCTTTGCTTAGGTTCCGAAGCTCTTGTACAGATACCAGGTGTTTCTTTGCTCTGTAATTGTTGGTATCCTTGGCCTGCGCTGTGGGATCGAAACCCATGTCCTTTACAAAAGTGCCCGTAAATGCCTGTTTGCGCACTTTTTCAGTTGCACTCGAGTGGTCTTTTGCCAGATGGACAATACCTAGCTTCTGTAAATTCTCAATACCTCGAGGGGCGACACTGCTGAGTAGCCGTTTTTCCAAGTCATCATTTGCCTTCTTTTTCCGTAACTTGGATATCTTGCTCTCCACAACAGGGCGGTCGTACTTATTTTGATCAAATTGTTGTCCTCCGCTGAAAACAACATCTCTTTGGTGAAAACCAGTGCTTTCATACAGAACAAACATGGGCTGGTTAGTTGAGCCGTTGAAAAACATTTGGCTTTTTTCACCAAATCGATTTTGGGGCGCCTTTGGCTTTATACTACCTTGAAGCTCCATTCGAGATCCGTGATTATACTTGCTTTCTTCATGGTAAGTGCAGAGTGTGTTTTTCAGTGTATCCACAATGTGTTTGCAAGGTTCTCCCAGCTTAGTGGTTGCTGAGCAATGGCCATAGCTCTTCAGTGATCCGATCTCGACAAGATTATCTAGGTCACTCGTTAATGCCAAATTGAAGCTTCCATTGTACCTGCGAATAGGAGGGTTTAGGATCACAATGACATCACCTAATCTCACCTTCCAGTATTTCTGGAAGGCCTCTCCAAAAAGCATAACGTCTACCGTATGCGAGAAACTTCCCACGCGAAGTGAAAGATATTTCTTGTTGTTTACTGCCACTTTAGGCTCACTTTTGTGCATGATGATTCCCGTGAAACACCAATTGGCATACTCTGGTTCTTCAAACTTTGGAGCGATCACTTTTGCCAAAAGCTTCGCCACTCGAAGCACTTTAAACAGCTTCATCAAACTCTTTACATCTTGCTCTGGAATGTATCTGCGGCTAAGTAGCTCGCCAGAAACAAGATCTTTACTATTTTCATCGGTTGTAAGTATCACTTTAGGCTTAGGGACATTTTCAAACTCAAAGACACGTTCATTTAAGTTAACAGAGTTCTGTTTCGTTTTGGTTTCGTAGAGCTGAGACGCAAAAGAAGACTCTTTCGGTCTCAGGCTGGCTTTACGAAGTGCCCCAAGTGTGCTTTTCAGTACACGCCTCTCTTGATCTAACCTATCAGGCAACTCACGAACACTGTACTTAGCAGCTTCATCTGCGGATTTTCGAGGAGGTGGTGATGGTGATCTTTCTATCTGAACTTGGGATCTCTTCCTTTCTCGAGCCCTCGCTCTCTCTTCGAGAAGCTTTTGCTTCCTTGCCGCAAACTCTTTTTCCAAATCGGCCAACTCATTATCGGAGTCTTCTGTCAAGACCTCGTGCTCGTCTAACTTCTTTGAATCCCGCGGATCATCATATTCCATATCAAATTAGTGTTGTACTCTGGAAACTTGGAGATTAAGTAGTGTACATAAGCAAGTTCCAGTCTATCCAACGCGATCCACTGAACACCTTCGAATTGAATTGATTTTATCGTTGTTGATGACTAGAGAAAGAAGCAAATCTGTGGTACAGAAGATTGCATTCGATGTTCCATCTTACAAGAAGGAAGACTTGAAATTAGAGGATGAGTCCATAGAAGCAAGAAATGTTCACAATCCTACAATTCCCACCCAACCTCACCCAGTCGCAGGACCCACACAATTCACTAGTCGAAATAGAGCAAAATCACTATCACACTTGTCCTTGAAGGGGCAAAACTTAGCACACGAGCTTCCGGTGACCTCGTATCCCTTTACGGAGAAGGAACGCGACCAGCTAACCCAAAACTTCTTGGATACTTTAAACTACAATTCTGTTCTAGATTCAGAGTACATTGCTGACATCAATGACTTGTTTGATGATGAGGTTTTGGCATTTAAGTCTGATTGTGACATGAATATAGGTCAAATGCGCCATATCATAGCAGAAAACAAATCTATCTTGTCCCAGGTTAATGCTTTAACGATGCAGTTCGATAAAGTCACTCAAGATACGCTGGAATTTGCTTCCCAATCAACTGCGCTTATGAACACGTATAATGATCTTGAAAACAAAGTGACCAAGATTGGCGAAGTTTTGAAAATGTTCGAGCATTTGGAAAAAATAACTAAGTCTTTGGTCTCGTCTGGAAATGCTGTCATACGCACGGGCAGAATTCTGTCTATTTTAACGCAACTTCAAGACTGTTTGGACTTTTTGGAAGCTCATTCAGAATACAAAGACAGTGAGCTTTACTCTTTGCGTTATCGACAATGTATGACGCGAGGTCTCACATTGATCAGAAACTACCTCATTGATTATTTAAAAACTATGCATTCTTCGTTTTCTCAGAAGCTAGTTTCTAAGGATACCACCAACTTAACTTTGGACATTTATATGTATAGTGAACCAGTGAAAGAGCTAACAAAACAAGAGGGACCTTGTCAATTCCTGACTTTGCTTGGTGCTATCGTGGAAAGATGCGAAGGGCACGAGGAATATCAAGGCTTGGTATCAGATGTTCTACAGCAATATTTCAAATTCAGGTTGCTGCTAATTGATCAGTATATTGAAAAACAGAATCTGCAGCAACAGTCTGATGCATCAAAGACCGAAGGAAAGGCTATCAATGACACTGTTATGTATTGTCAAAAACAAATTTCAGTATACAAGAAACTTCTTGAGAAGGAATATTCGTTGTTTGTGAAATTTTGCCCCGTCGATGCATTTCCACAACTGCAGCAAAAAATGATTTATGACCAGCTATACAACTTTTTTAAAGAGGCGTTGGAGCCCTTATATGATGAAGTCCGAAACCGAGTGTTACGAGAACAAAGCATCAGCGAGTTATGCCATTTGACTAACCTATTGGCAAGCTATTATGAGTACGAAGATGATGTTTCCGTGATTTCTTCAAATGACGGCAAGATTGAGTACGGTGAGCTTTTTGAGCCTATGATAGATGATGCTCAATCGAGACTTGTTTTCCGCATCCAGAATTTTATTGACAACAAACTTTTAAAGTACAAACCCCATCCAGAAGATTTGCAATTGGGTAATAGGAAAAGTAACAGCGAAGGTAAAAGAAGAGATTCTGGTTTACAAGATGTGGAGGAAAATTTATTCCCCAGTCTTTATGCTCCTCTTGGAATAGCCTTGACAATTCTATCAAATATTTATGAACTTCTCAACTCAATGGTTTTTGATGATATTGCACACCATATTGTGCATAGTTGCATTTACATGTTGAAAAACGGAGCCATGAAACTAGCAATAACTCATTTGGGACCGATTGATGCAAAGTTATTTTACTTAAAGAATCTCATTGCATTGAAAAACCAGCTCAACAACTTTGATATACAATTCGTACGGACAGAGACTACTTTGGATTTCACAAGCGGAATTCAGGAACTTATTCAGATTTTCAGAAACGGCCAATTATATGTTAAGTTCAACCAAACAGGAGGTTTTCTAGAACTTGTGAAGAAGTCGACACCAAAGGTGATCAATAATATGATTGATGCTAAGCATGAAATTGAACTTGAATTGAGTAATGCTGTTAATGATTTGGTCACTGAATGTGCCAATGCGATTTGCGAGCCCATTTTCATTGACAATGAACTTTCTTTGCAAGAAAAGTCAGTGCAGCTTAACGACAATGTGTTGATGAAAATACCCCAATTCTATTCGCAAATACTCTCTTTTGTGGAGGAGAAGGAAGTCGTCATGTACCTTGTGGATCTCACTGTGAACTTAATCTCATCCACGTACGAGAAATACTACTCTTCATTGCAAGACAAATTGGCGAAAAAAGAATATTCGCCACAGGATATAGACGATGTGATGGAGCCCGAAACGTTTTATAATTTTGTTAATGAGGCTGTGTCCGATTTAAACAGCCAGAACGAGCATGTGGAATTCAACGAGGCTTGTTTCGAAGATGTCAAGCTGCCAGAGCCCATATTTGAGAATCCCTCTTCGTGAAGTATATAGTTAATACCAAAACTTTTTCATGCTTGTTGCTTGCTGCCATCAATGGGATCATAAATATTCTTGGAAAGTAGCCTATTCAACTCATCTTTCACAAATTGCACCATGTCTTGTTTTATCATCAAGTGGTTGTTATCAAGCTCTTGAAGAACAATTCCTCTTCTTGTGGAATCAATCTGTAAAATCAATGCACGAATGGAGGGATCACACCTCACTAAGACTCCTTTGCTGGCTGTAGGCATATTCTTGAGTAAGAGTAGGTTGGTGAGATTTCTACAGGTACAAGATAATATATGCACTACAACAGGATGAGATATTACAATCATCATTCCCCTACAACAAAATTACGTATTGATGAATACAGTTTAAGAGTATGATATTGTTTGTTAGGTATTCGTCTCATTTCAAAATAAAGTAGCCAATGTCTTCCATTGCGTGCTGGCTGTTCGGCTTTTTACCGGATGAGCATCTAAATGTTTACACCTTCTAGAGTTGAAATTCTTCATTAGTATATTGACTCATAAGTAATAGTCAATAGAGCAATAGAACAACTATATATTTCTTTCGTTCGTGTTCACATGTTGGTTTTTTCTTAACCAGTTCTCTATCTTGAAGAGCAGCACGTGACCGCATTCTTACTACTTACTTAACTGCGCTCTACTTATCTACCGTTCATGTCGATATGTCGGAGGGTGGAGATAAAATTGAAAAGCTGCCTAGCGGATCTGCTCAGGAAGAAACTACATTGAAAACTGACATGGCCAATTCCTCTGAAGAGGTTTTGACAAAAGAGCAGGAGGGTACCTCAATGGCGCAAAACTCGCTGGACACCAGAAAAGACGACAGTAAATCGAGCCCAGAACCGGAATCTTCAAGTGACTCCTCTGATGATGAAGAAGACGAGCCTCCGCTTCTAAAGTATACTCGGCTCAATCAACTACCGCCCAACTTTTTCAAAAAAGATCCCATCTCCGCAAGTGTATTTCATGATAATGTTTTTGCTTTCGGAACCCATTCTGGATTGATACTATTAACTAATCCAGACTTCTCGGTAATCCGAACTTTCAAAGCTCACCGAGCGTCTATTTTATCTCTTTACACGGATGGGGTATGGTTTGCAAGTGGGTCTATGGATGGAACAATCGTAATTGGATCCGTTGCAGACGGTAATGATATCGTGATGTTCGACTACAAACGGCCAATACATGCTGTCATTTTGGATAAAAACTACCAGCGGACGAGGGCTTTTATATGTGGAGGAATGAGCGGACGAGTTGTATATTCGTCCAAGAATTGGCTTGATCAACGTGTGGAAACAGTGTTGGACCAAGATAAAGGTCCAATTGTGGCCATTCAGATGATTGACGATTTAGTTCTATGGATGAATGATGTTGGTATTACTGTTTACCATACGACAACTCGCCAAGTCATTTCAGTAATTGAAAAGCCAGAGAACTCCTTCAGAAGCGATTTGTATTGGCCCAGAATTTCCTTCCCAGAAACCGATCGTCTCCTCATTGCATGGGGAAACTATATTTGGCTACTCCGTGCTTCAATCAAAGGACCTATGAATTCAGCGTCTGGCGCAGGCTCGTCAGTTAAGAGCAGGATTCTTCCTAGTGCAGCTTCCCTCTCTTTTAGATCACTGCAGGAGAAAAAAATAGAAGTGGAACATATGTTCAAAGTTGATTATCTCATATCAGGAATTGCCAGCTTCAAGGATGACCAGTGGATTGTTTTAGCGTATAATCAAACGGAGCGAGAGCAGGAAACAGGAAAAGCAATTCCACAAAATCCAGATATCAAGATATTGAGCTCTGTTGACGGGTCAACACACGATGAAGAGGAAATCGGCTTCAATTTTACTGAGCATTTGGGTCTTAATGACTATAATTTAGGTGTTCACATCGGACCTAAATCTACACGCTTTTTCGTCATAAGCGCAAGGGGCGGTGTTATAGCGGAGCAAGTTCAACTCGATGATAGGCTTGCGTGGTATTTGGAAAAACATAGATTCTTCGAAGCATGGTCTATGAGTCGATATCTAGTTTCTCCAACGCAACGACTAGAATATGGTATTAAACACTTGCGGTCTCTTGTCGCATCTGAACAATGGGAAAAGGCCACTGATTGGACTAAATCATTGCTCAATGTCAACACAGACGACTTTCCCCTAACAGATACGAGAAGTACAATAGGCACCAAAGTTTCTAGGGTGCTGGAAGTCGAAGAACGAGAAGCATTCATTAAAGTAGTTCGGCTGCAATGGGAAAAGTGGAGTGAAGTATTTTTAGAAGCCGGGAAAGTGCAACAGCTTTCTTCGATTATTCCAACAGATCCGCGGTGGACTTTGAACAAATCAATTTACTCACGCATACTAAAACATTGGTTAAATACATCTTGCGATCATGCTATTTCCCTTCTTCAAGCATGGGACTTGGAACTATATGATACGAAAGATGTTACCACAAGCATAGAAAGTCTTTTGGAGGAGAATCCTGATAACCGGTCATTGAGAGCCGAATTATGTCGGATTTATCAAAAGTCTTTCGAACCGGCAAAAGCAGTGAATCATTTATACATCTTGAAAGATCCAAATATTGTTGGGTTCTTAGAAGAAAACCATATTTTGCCTAATTTTATTGCAGATGTTCCGAAATTTGCTAGGCTCAGATTTGAGAAAGGCTCGGATATTGAACGACTTCCGATTTCGAAGATCAAAACTCGTCTTGAGGATATCGTTAAGATTTTGGCCGATAAACGGAATGAGATTCCACCAAAGAATGTTCTCCAACTCATGTTTGAGAACCACCTAGATATTATCAACTACTTTTACATCGAAGAGCTTATTCGAATTGATGAGTTGTTAGTGAAAGGATTTGAAAATGAGAGAATCCAGCTTTACTCGCATTATAACAGGCCCAAGCTCTTTCCATTTTTAACTAGCAACCAAAACTATGATATTTCGAAAGCCATAGAAAATATGTGAGACGAATGCTTTGGTGGATGAACTAGTGTATTTGCTCGGTCGAATTGGTCAGAACAAGAGAGCGTTGAAGCTTATCGTGGAAGAATTGGAGGACCCCGAGAGAGCTATTAATTTTGCCAAACGTCAAAACGACCAAGAAACCTGGAATACGGTACTCGAATACTCATTTTCTAGGCCAAAGTATATTAAGGCGTTAATTGAGCTCTCAGACGAGAAATCGAGCAAATTTTACAATCCAATTACAATCTTACAGAATATGAGTACCAATTTACAAATTGAAGGATTGAAAGAATCCATAACTAAAGTGTCACAAGAAAATGACATGAATGTTGTTCTTAATCAGCTCATACTTAAAATTATCTACAAGAGATCTGAGGAGATTTCTTATGATTTTAATCTTGATAAACTCAGAGGCATTCAATTTGACGCTAAGAGTGATACCTTAAAGACCATATTTGATAATTTCGAAACTGCCCTTGTGCTTAAAGCACCAGGAGACTCAGAAGTTTCTATTCGGTTGGTAGAATCTGTTGTTCGCCGCGACCCCAATGCTAATAAACCCTTTGCGGATCTCGAGACGAAATTAAAACATCTACAAATACTCAATGAAGAGTTCCAAAAAACCACGTCGGTTACATAGCATTATACTGACGAGACTATTATGCAAATGGATTGAATCTGTTCAAAAGACCACCTGTAGCTTTGGAAAAGATATCATTTGCCATCACATTTGCCTTACCAAACTTATCGCATTTGGTGAAAGCCACGGCGTTTGTAAGTGATAAAAACACGCTGATTGCCACAACTATTAAGTATAACAATTCTAACTTGAGAACAGCCATAATAGCAAACACTATCCAAGCAAGAGGCTGAACGTATAAGAGAGTCCAAAATACCTTAGAATCGATTGGGTTAATGTAGCGATTAGGATCTGCCGATTCGAACACCCACACATTCTCAAATTCGTTGCTGCCTTGCTTCATATTAGTTTCGTTCCACCATCTCAAGCCCACAAGTAAACGACCTGAAATATTCTTGAGGTTCCAAAAGTCCGCCGACACTAGTAAAATAAGAATAATAAAGTGAAGAATAAACCGACTGTTCTTGGTCACAAGCAGAAGAATGATAGACCCGAAAAGGTACACAAAGATTGGAGCGATCCGAAAGAAGATGAAAAAAAGTAATGCAATAGGATGCAGAGACTCCTGGAGCCTTTGGCTCCAAGTTCTTTCTTGTATATTTTCTGCGGCAGGTATAGAGCCAGATATTTGTGGTGGGCCGGCCGAATTGAGCGCCGAAGCATTTGCATTGTAAGAGTGGGGATTTGATGGATTGTCCGAAGGTGCTATGTCCGGAACAATTTCGTCTGCCTCAATCGGGGTATACTGTGACATGTGGTAGAAACTTCCGTAAGCGGATATATAAGCGAACAGGCCACACTAGTGTTATCAGTTGTTGGAGTGCACACGCCAGTATAACTAAAAAAAAGAGCGTGCTACTAGTTACTTTCCTTACAAGTGATGATCTCATATTATAGAACATTCATAGGAGGCATAACGAGGACCCAACTTGAGACTTTCAAAGTATGTAACTCTTATTTCTAGCGGGCATAAGTCCGCAAGATTCCCGCATTTCTCAGTTCCTTATTAACCCGCAGTTTGGTTTCTACCTATTCTCTCCTATTCTTGTCATGTACTATGTTGGTATAGACACAGACAGAAAGTTCAACTTACCCGGGTTTTGGCCTGACCCAGCTACTTTGAATCAGATTCCTAAGGAACCTCATGAAATCCAGGCTGAAGTTGCGCGGATCAGAAGAGCTAGGGCCGAGAAGAGGGCGAGATTGGAGCAAAAAGCCAAGGAGTTGGGAATCAGTGAGGAGGATGAATAAGGCTTGTACCGGGATAAATATGGTCAACAAAACAATATAATGTACATAGGAGTTTTCATTCATGTCTCGTGTAGTTCATGCTATTTAATCTATAAAAGTGTGACAAACTGACATTCGCTGGGCGATTATATTTTTCATCCTGGAAAGGTTTATCATTTTTGCTCAGTTAAACTTTTTTTGCTCACATGGGCAGAGGCTTGTCTGGATCATACTTGTGTTGCATCTTTGTCAAGTTCGACCGGAGCTCCTCAAGCGCAAAGTTCGACAATTTAAGTCCTTCTGTTCCTGAGGCATCGATCACACGGTTAAGTAATGAGATAAGATCTCTGTCATTACCGTCTCCACCTACTTGAGCATCGTAATCTGAATTGCCTCCCAGAGGCCGCTCAGAAGCAGAAGGACGGAACCCGTTAACCATCAGATGGTGGGGCATGGGTGAAAGCGAAGGTCCAACAAAATTTATAGGGTCGGTTAGAGAGTCCTGAGTTGCCAGATTTCCTGGCATTGGACTGCCTGAGAAGTATGGGGTACCCAAACTTGTTGGTAGAGCTTGGCGTTTCCGTTCAGGAAAACCATTAAGGTCAAAATTACCTCCCCGCTTTCCCTCACTTACCATGGAGTTATTCATATCCATCCTGGTAAGCACAGGGGGTAGGTTTTCTTGCTTTATTGGCATCAATGCAGAAAAGGAGTTTCCTGAAGGATATGCACCATTATTGATTTCCTGATTCTTCGAAACACTCGTAGCTAACAATAGGGCATTCATGCTAGTGCTTCCTGGACTGCCAATCAGATAATCGGTATATGGTGGCTCTCTGTACTTTGACTGCAAATTAGGTTGTCTTAGAGGATGCGGTTGAGGCAGTGCTCTATGCATATTGGAGTATTGCAATGCGGGCGAAATTGGTGCCAATTGAGGCGGGTTAAGGCTCAATTTTTGTGGAATGTTATTAAGTTTGGGTGGTGAAAGGCTTGGTTGAGAAAACCGAGCATCATGCGGTTGTGGAAGAGGATGCCCAACTCCCGTAAACCACGGATCAGTCATTGGGGCAATGCTGTCCTGTCGTTCTTCCTTTTGTTCTTGAAGGTCCTTTTCCAGCACGCAGCTTCCTATGATTTCCTCAATCGAAACGTAATCCAAAGAAACTTTGCTCCGCTCGTTGACTAGACCAAGCAACTCATCAACATTCCAAGGAATCATTACGTTAAGGTATTTCATAATTTCCCGGAGCTTATGGTAACTCTTTTGCGAGTCGTAATGGGCTTCAGCTTCGATAAAAGGACGAAAAAGTTCTTGTGCTTTAGCAACGACATGTCGATCTGTAGCTGGCCATGGTGCCTTAAAGTTGATTAAGTATGTGTGAGACCAAGACAGAAAAATCTTTTGGGCACTGATGGAATCCCATGAACGTTTAATCCATTCAATAACTTTGATAAATGGTACATTGTAGTCACTCTCTGAAAGCACAGCAGATTCACTAGCTGTCTTGAGACTGCTCAAGTTCGAAGTACTCGATATAGGCAGACGAGCATCATCGGACTCGCTTTGATTCCTCTGTTTGTTGATCATTTCAAGATACTGTTGTAACCGGTACAAAATCTTGAATTCTTCGACTATTCCAAAACTCATGGGTAAGTAGTCAAACTTTACACCATTGAAGGATCCGTTGTAAGGATTTTTGTGCTTTGACGCATTTTCCATGTAGACTAATCTGATATGCTTGAACTCAAGATTGATCATCCGATGCGACGAACTGTTGTCTAAGAAGATGAGAATCTGTCGGTCTGGAGATGCGTTTTCAATCTTGTGATCGAGAGTTAAAAGGTAATCTTGAAACATACTCGAAGTAATCCATTTGTTAATATTTGTTTTTAGCAGAATATGGTACACCTCACATATTTTGTTGATTAATGCCTGTGGCGAGAGCTGGGACGTTCCATGAGATTTGAAGGCTGGGTGAGAACTTTCTGAAACATCCAACTCTTCCTCCTTCGATACTATTAATGGCATCAACTTTTCTGATCCGTCAATGTTACATCCCAACATTACTGTGAGCATATTTTTTGTCGATGACTGAGATTGTTTGAGACCTTTATCGATAGAAGAGATATCGAAGATCTGGTCTAATGGAAGAGCATGGAAAAGCGAGATTTCGTCTATGGTAAAGATGTCTTTCGGCGAGTAATTGTGACGAGCTATAAGCCCCTCTATGTATTTCTTCAACTCGAGTTTCTCGTCTAACATCCACACTTTATTTAGCGGATAGCCCAAATTGTTCTCCACCGCTTGGCGAGAGCCAACTAAATTGATATTAAGTCTCTTGACGAAATGGTTACACCATTTGTGGTTGAAAACACCGTTGCCATCGATCAACTGTTTGGGTAATCTCGTCCAAATGGCGTTTGCCGTCAGCTGGATAATAGGCGTGGTGATCGGGATCTGTTCCCAGTGGGTTTGAGTAATCCACTCAGTCAAGATTTTACGAAGAACTGGGTTCGTTTGCTTGCGTCGTCTCACAAGCGAAAAGTCCGATTCCTTCGAACCAATGATTTCATTTTTGGAGCTCAATATTCGCGAGATTGTTGTTTGTGACGGAGGTTTGCTGGACCCATACTCTTTCATGGCCCAATTGGCCAAGTCCGTCTGGGTCATGAGTGGGTTTGCCTCACTTTTGAGGCATATCTCGATCTTTTGCTTGATGTTATAGCCCATTTAGCAATATGCGTTTACAAAACTTTGGGGAACTGTGGAGATGGGCAAGCTCTAATTCCAAATTCAAAAATATACTGCTTGCTTTATGTTATGGAGCGACAAAATGGGGAAATTCCGGTAGCAGCGAAAGGCGCAATGTTGTTGGTTTGTGTTGGAAATGCCACACCAACTGGTGATGTGTCTCGAGCTTCTGACTTATGGCCTGTATCTCGGAGAAGACATCAGGAGATCTTCTCACCGCATAAACTTGATCCGTAGACACGCCGTTTCAGCCTTATCTTTCAAGCTTGGTCTGACAGAATCTAAAAGTACTTCTTCTGTTTCTTCAATCTTTTACAGGTGTTTCTATTGGCTCGACTATGTGCTTTGATGGCAAACGCTTGTGCGGACTATACATGACCGAGCGTCTGGGCTACTTTCAGGTGATTTCTTTTTTTATCCAAAAGATGCCCCTGGATTGCCAAAAATTTCAATTTCAAAGCAGTGTTAAAGTGGGTGACTTTTCTTATGTCGTTTCCAAGAGAAATCTGGCCTGAGAGTGGGCGGTACGACAATTGACTAATTATTCGCTTGGCTGGCCAAGCGTATGGCGTGAAGCATGCGCTTAAAGGTCTTTCCCACTTTCGCGAGGTTATCGTCTCACAAAAAAGAAAACGATATACAAGATCACCGATTAATTAAAATTCAATTCGTAATTAAAGACTAAAGAAAGATTCGGTATAAGACCCGAGGATACTACTGATGGCATCTGTTGTTTTACAGCCCTTCACAAATATTTAATGTGCTCACCGTGGGACCATAATACCTAATGAGACAGCAAAAAGGACAACACTTTGTCGAACACAGTCTGGAAAATCTGCTCGTTTTCAATAAAGAGAGAATGTCTGCCTCCTTCGACTGGAACTAGTTCCTTGTCCACTTCTTCAGGCAATAACTTGATGAAGGTCTTTGACCCTTCAATGTTATTAATAAAGTCCAGAGTACCATGTAAGACGAGGACCGGTATATCCTTTTTGAACTTGGAAACGTGGTTCTTCTGGAGCAACTTTTCGCCACGAACAAACATGTCGTTGAACTGTCTAACAGTGCCAATCAACTTGGTGTCGTGTTCTTTGATGTACAGTTTCCAACCCTCGTTAGACGTAATGTAGTCGTAGTTAAGTTTCGAATCAACTTTTAATCCAGGCACAAGTGAGTTGATCACAGGCTGCAATTTGCGTACCAATACATTAGGTTGTGTTTTTGGGTGTAAGACCACCAATGGTCCCGACACCACTATTCCTCGGATGCTATCTCTATGTTTTCCATAGATGGCATAGTTGAGGGCAATTCCACCACCCATAGAATGACCAGCCAAGAAAAACTTCTCTGTCTTGTCCAGACGTGCATCGAGCTCTCGTTTGATCATAAAGTCCAAATCATCAAAGGTGTGGAACTCGTCAGTCTTTCCTACTAACTTTCCTGGTGATGTCGCTCCAGCACCTCTCTGGTCAAAGAAAAACACTTCGTACCCTTCACGGCTAAGCTTGTCAAAAAACTCGGTGTAGATGGTGGAATGCTCGAAAAAGCCGTGCACGTAGACAATTTTGCCCTTGTAGGCTACATCAGACGGAACTTTCCAAGTAACTGTTTTGAAGTTAAGACCATCATAAGGAACAGTTTCAACAACAGGAGTTCCAAGGGGAGAGTAGGGAATATCAACCATGAGAAAGTGAGGGGATAATAAAAGGATGTTGTGGAGTTACGCGATTGAAGGTGTAGGAATCTTGTTATAGCTGAGAATCCACACTTCAACACTCGTCTTCACTACGTTTATAATGCAACTTTCAAACATTGTTCGCTGTTTGAATTCTTAGCAAAGAATTGGTGCTTTGCTGGAAATTAAATTCAAAAAAGTTCCCTAAATTTTGAACACTGAGCGGCACATGAACATTCAACCAAACTGGATCTACACGGTGAAATGTCACATGTTGATGAGGTCAGTGTTGCTTATTTCAAGCATCAAGACTTCTTCGGTGCTTTACTGAATTCTGTTTCTACACCCAGAGATATTGATGCCCTTTCTTAAAATCTGGGTCTGGTGAAGAACACATCTCTTGTTAGGTGCAATTTGTCAAGTAATCTGGAATCATCGTAGGAGAAAGGAGAAAAGTGACATTTCCAACTACGAAAAGGGTAGGCGATACTACCGTATGTAGCTGATATATCCCGATTCATTTGCCGTATTGCTTAGATAGCTAGACGATAGAAGAATACAGCCTCATCATCGGCCTCATGTCTCATAATCTGTTTTTTGAACATTGTTCATTGGCTTTAGCATTTGTATGAACTAATGAATTATTGCTCAATGGAATACGGTGTACATTGTGCTTCATGTTACTATAGATCCATAAGACTATTGGAACTCCATGTTGATATTTGACATCAAGGTTGAGCATTGTTCTCTTCGTTCCATTGCGTTTATATTCTGATAATGGAAGTCTCTTCCATGCATACCACAAAAAAAGATAGAAGTCTTCATCTCATAGAAAGTACCAGATCACTCTCGCAGTCCGGTTGTTTTGTCTGTTACTTCTAAGGAAGACGTGATCTGCCTTTCTTAAAGCAGTCTAAGTCTCATTTTTCTCCTGAGTCTCTGCCTCTTGAACATCTAGAGGGATGTCCCGTCCATTTACAATAAGTGCATTGCGTTGAACAGCCACTGTAAAATCTACCACGGAATATTCGACCAAACGTGGAGGACGAGCGCCATAAACTGTGTCGCGGGCAAGATACTGAGCTACGGCAGGCGCGCACTCTTCGAGACACCGCGCCAACGGGTCAGGCACAAACTGCGGAGATGGTGTACCAAAATCATTGGGGAAAAACGTACGGCGGATCCGCTGCTCGTAAAATGAACCATGCTCCCATTGTGAAATATGATCCTGGTCAAGTACCGTATAAAGGTGCGCACGAGCTTCGCCTAAGGTGGTGGGATCTCTGCATTCGAGGCGCTTAAGTGCTGGCTGCGACGCCAATACGGCGCGCCGCACAGTTTCTGCACCTGTGCTACCTGAAGATTCAAAGAAAAGTACAAGATGCTCAAGCTGGCCACGAAGGTTTTCTTCAAGAGTTTGCACAATGGATTGCTCTTGGCAGGCCAAGCAGTTATCTGTGGGTCGAAGAGACAAACTGGAAAGTGACAGCGTATGGCGTGTGAGACGATATACTAGCGTAGCCTGAGGTTCATGCGGAACATGTGCTCCAGGTGATTGTTCAGTACAGCGAAGCAGAAGCGAGGTCAAATCTTCTAGCGCCACTGCAGAAGCAATGGTTTGTGCGGCAGAAGCTGAATCCCTCACATGGCCGTCTAGTTCTAAAGCTTGTAGTTGAAGTCTGTGTGGAGCCACAGCACTCAAAATGTTTATCCATGGAGGAGATGTGCGCTCGGATGTGTTGAGAAGGTTCAAGCGGCGCAAGTCGCGCGCGCCCACGGTGCGGAAAGCCAAGGTTCGAAGCGGTGCATCCACAAGAGCTGTAGCAACAGCAGCAGGATCGGCAGGCCAATCGCCACAGAGACAGATTTCTGCGAGGTGGGAGGATTTGGCTGCCAAGAAAACGGGCGCAGGACACGCTAAACAAACGGCATTGGGAAGCAATACACGAATTTCGGGCAGATTAACATAAACATCCGTCGGGCGGGTGCATGCTAACAAGCGCACTAAAAGGTCGCACACATCCTGCGGGCGTTGTTTGGCACCAACTTTCTCGGCCTGCGCCTCGAGGTTTTTTTCCTGGCGCGCCCCGTTCTCCAGATACACTGTCCGCACCAAAGAAGCCAACTTGCAACTTCGTTCAAGCAGCAATACCAACCTCTCAAGTTTTTCTGTTCTCACTGCAGTGCCACAGGTTCTTCCCCACTCATTCAAGTGGTCACGCGCATACGCCAATGCCATTGTGTCGTCGGTCACTATGATCTTGCGGTACAAATATGCTGCGGACGGTAAGTAAAGGTACTTACATGTCACACACAAGGCAAGAAGCGCTTGCGTAGGTAGTTGCTCAGCAATTTGGATTAGGACAGACAAGGGCAACTGTTCAAGTGAAAGTTTAGCAGGAGGAGCTGGAGGATATGCCCAATTTCGAGGACGGAACGCCGACAGACGTCGGCGAGCTTCAACAACCATGGGAGCAGTCAATGCAATCAGGCAATTGCGTATTTACCAAGCCTTTGGACTTATAGCTGGGTTGAAAACTCAGAATGTAGAATGTAGTGCCTGTTGATTCTGTTTCCCCTAGACTGATTAGATGCCCTTGGACGCAGTAACTGCTGGCGATTCTCTCAATTGAAAACGTTTGAGGTGCTTCTCTCAGTCACTGGACTTAATTATTCTTCTTCTTTATAAATTGTGGATCTTTATGGTTGGTCCTTCTTCCTTTGTGGGTCTCGTCCTTGGGATTTGAATGTGGAGCTTATCGCTATTGATAACGCGCGTTAGATGCAGCTCCACGGCTGGACGCTCCTATCTCAGAAAGCTCAACATCGTTTCGATTAAGTAGTGTGATTGAAGAATGGAATACAGCTTCCATTTTCTACTGTAAATTGTACATTGCTGATTGGGTTTTACTTGTTGCTTTTGAAGTTTTGTTCACTCCCAGCAAAAGCGAGAGATAGGTGCGAATGGACTTGGCTAATTAGGTAGCACTAGATTCTTTTTTTTTTTTTTTTTTTGTGCTGGTCCTTGTTCATTTCAATTTCATTCAAGATACTTACTTGTATCTTTAATCTTTTATTTGATACCGCGTGGCAACCTTGTAATGCTGTGAAAGCAGTCCAAAAGCATAATGAGCTTGCTTCGCAATTACGCAGCAGTAACAACATTAATGGCACATTTCGGACGCCAATGACTCGGCCTTGCATCTAGCAACTTTCCTCCTTAAACCTTAATACCATTACTTGACCGGAAAACCTGGAATGTGCTTCATTCCACTTCTTTTAGAATAGGTAGAGCTACATGGTTTCTAGGCATTTGAATGGCCTTGAACTTTTCGGTGCTCAAAACGTTGCATCTTTGCTCGCACTTGTTCAACAAACCCATCTAATAGTAGTTTTTCCATCGCACAGTAATGAATTTCTGATTACGCTTGCGCTCACAGTTCTACATTTATAGCTGCTCCTTCTCACATCTACAATTTTTCCCCATATTTTTGTCTTATTATAAACACATTGGTCCATTGACGCTGACTTGCAAAACCAAACATCTTGTTGGGCATGCTTAGCCCCCAAGTGTGAAAATAGCATTTAGGCTTTCAGGCACGGTGCCTGGAACCTGCAGGGGCTTCTGTTCCTTGCGTACATGTGGATGGTGACTTCCTCATCCGGATGACAGCAAATAATTATTTCCAAAGATCTTCACAAGCAGAAACGGTTATACGATCACCAAGAAAGAAGAGAAGAAAGCCGATTCTATCACACAAAGTGGACCTGGAACGGGCCAAAAAATGGGAAATACTAAACCCACTAATGGTGACTGCACCCGTACCCCAGATCGCACAAGTATCTTGCAGAAACTATTCCCCACACTCTGAAACTGCCCCGTTTTTTCTTACATTTGTTTTCCTTTAAAACACCTTTTCTGCTTTATATTCTGCCGAAGGATCAATATGACATCACCAAATGATGGCGCTCGCTCGCCTGCTCCGCCCGATCCGTTTCAAGGCCTTCTGTTTCTGGTTGGGGTAGCGGAAAACAAAAACTTGTCGTATCGCTCAAAAATGGAAGATGTCCACACCTATGTGGCAAACTTTGCGGAGCGCCTTGATTGGGGCTACTTTGCCATCTTTGACGGCCACGCCGGGAAACAGGCTGCAAGGTGGTGTGGTAACAATTTGCACGTGCTCTTGGAGAACGAGATTCTTGCTCGCGAAGCAGAAAAAGAGAAGTCTCCCTATGACATCAAGGAATTGCTCCATACAGTGTTCATACGCGCAGACGAGCGTATAGAAGAAGAGGGGTTCGGCTCTTCCGGAAGCACCGCGGCTGTCGCCGTGTTGCGCTGGGAAACAGACCAAAAAGATCTGGTTGAAGGTTCTGCCGGACGCGCTCTGGAAACATCTGGCTACGACTTTGTGCCCACGAAGCAGCATCGCCGCGTGTTATACACGGCCAATGTGGGAGATCTGAGGATCGTTCTTTGTCGTGGTGGCCGTCTGTACCGGTTGACGTATGATCACAAAGCTTCTGACCAAAGCGAAGTTGCAAGAGTTCGTGATCTGGGCGGACTCGTACTTAAAAACCGCGTCAATGGGGTTTTAGCAGTCACGCGTGCATTGGGAGATGCGTATATCAAGACGTTAGTCACCGGGAAGCCTTTTACAACGTCGACGGAGATTACACGCGAAGACGAGTTCCTAATATTGGCATGTGACGGCGTTTGGGACGTGATCTCCGACCACACTGCGTGCCGTCTCGTGCACGATGTGTTTGAACGTCAGCGCCAGGCCGGAGAGCCATATGACCCGCCGGCGGCGGCTCGTAAACTCTGCCAATTGGCTATAGAAAAAGCATCGACAGATAATGTGACTGTGATGGTGGTGAAGCTTGATCCAAATATTTTGCCAGCTTAGGCGTGGGTGAATATTATATGAGCATTTCCATCCAGTCACATCGTTGTGCCATCTACCATGTCATTTGATCAACTTTCACATTTAATCCACACAACTCATTCCCATCACTCACATTCAACCACCAATCGAATGTCAGGATTGGCTTTTTTTAGCATATAGGAGCCAGAAATCAAATCATCCAGCAAAAATGTGTTTCTTGAGCTAAAGAATGCTTCATAGACTTTCAATGTGCACCGATCTCTATACAATAGTAACTCAAATAATTTAAACATAGACGCAATGAAGAACTACTCAATCACCGTTTCAATATTCCTCCTTTTGTTCGCAGGATTAATTTATTTAGAATACTAGGTTCCTAAATAGTTTTATTAGGCTTTGTTTTCCACAAGGACACAGGATTGAAATTGAGGAACAAGGGTATGAATACATTGGTCGTGGCACTGTGTGCATAGGGAAAGGCTGCTTCTGCGGGTTGAATTATGCCAGCTATTTGGTTGAAGCATCTCAATCGTCTGTATTCCGATTCTAATCCACCAAGCCAGTTGTGCAAATCTTACAGTTACCTGAGACAATCTAGAGGAACGTTGAAGTAAAATAGTCTGTAATCGTTTCCGTCTTGCCTATTCTTTATTTCAATACCCAATCCCAGCTTTATCAATCGAAGGATTACATTGTTTTATTACTTTCACGTAGCTATTCTCCAGACAACTGGTAAATATTTCAAGGCATGCAAGTACCCTGGCACAGTGTTTTTAGATGCGGTAAAACATTCTTGATCACTGTCGCTCGAACTCGTAACATTCAATATCTATGCGCAATATGATCGATATTCCCTAACCCATTAAATTATATCCACTATACTCATTAAACCTCGTACACATTAACATTCGTCTCCTTCTCAGGGGCTTCCACAAATTGTTCACTTCGTATCTTGGGCCGGTACAAACCTAGGAGTAAACTGCTGGTAACAACACTCAAGGAAGATGCAGCCATGGCAGCACTAGCCCATACTGGGCTTAGCCTCAGATTATTGATTGGATAAATGACGCCTGCAGCAATGGGGATTCCAATCACGTTGTATACTAAACTCCAGCAGAAATTGAACTTGATGCGCCGGAAAACAACTTTGGCTAAATCAAGAAGCGTACAAAGTGTCACGATAGGATGCACTTTGTTTAATAAAATGAAGTCGCTCAGAGTAACCGCCAAATCTGCACCACTAGATAAAGCAATACCAACATTAGCAGCTGCCAACGCTGGCGCATCATTGATTCCATCGCCAACCATTGCTACTACTGCACCGTCTCTTTGTTGAAGCAGCTCGACAATATTCTTTTTTTCATGAGGTAAAATCTCACTGACAACATTCTCTTGCTTAATACCTATCTCATGTGCAATAGCAGCTGCCGTGAGTTTATTGTCTCCGGTTATCATCCAACTTTCAATTCCACGGTTCTTCAAATGCTCAACAACAGCACGCGCTTCCGGTCTTACTTCATCCCGACATGCCATCATTGCAGCTAGATGAAACTCTTTATCTCCGTATATGCGTTCACACTTGATAGCCAAATTCATAACTGATTTTCGGTTCTTCTTCCAATAGTCTAAAAGACTCTGTTGCACTCGGGTGATTTCCACATTATGGTCGTTAAGCATGGCTTCGTTGCCCAAAACAGCAAACTTGGGTTTATATTTTCTCCAGAAACTGTCCCCATCGTCATCATAATGCACAATCTTACCCTTTAAACCTTTTCCGGGTACGGTTTCGACTTGTGGGATTCTGACTGACGATAAATGCACGTCTTGCTTCGTTTCGTAATTACTGACAAAGTCCTTGACAGCAGTCGCAATTGGATGTTTGGATGCCAATTCTAAATCTCTGACTGTTTGCAAAGCAATCTTGCGTAAAGCTGAGATGTGAGATGCCTTAACTGCTGATGAGACAAAAGCAAAATCAGTAGTTTTCATTTCACCACAGGTCAAAGTTCCTGTCTTGTCGAAGCATACCAAATTAATAGCGGCGGCATCCTGAAAAGCTGCACCTCCACCTCTAGCTAGAATTCCATTCTTCGCCGCCAAGCCTGATCCCACGAATAAGGCGGTCGGAGCAGCAAGGCCAATTCCGCAGGGGCATGCTATGACAAATACAGCAATTGCAAACTCCAAGCTCCAAACTGCCCAGCCTCCAACATCGATGTCCAAATAACTATCCGGAAGTGCGCCCGAATAAGCAAGCCCTAACCAGATAATCCACGTTAAGATAGCTATAAACACAATGATGGGGACAAAGTAACCAGTAATAGCATCGGCCACTCTCTGTATGGGAGCCTTCTTCATTTGACCATCACGGACTGTGTTTATAATTTGATCAATCAACGAGTCTCCATCGACACTCAAAATCTTGGCGATAACAGCATTGTTTCCCACATTCACAGTTCCAGAAAACACTTGATGTCCTGGACCATGTTTGACAGCATGGGATTCTCCGGTAAGAGCAGACTCATCGAATTCAGAATCACCTTCGACAATCACACAATCCACTGCAGGAGATTCACCGGTAGAAATGCGGACGTAGTCGCCCGAATCAAGAAGCGACACATCGACAAGACTATCATTTTTGTAAGTATAATTACCGCTTTTTGCATCTTGTTCGCGGTCGACAAGTGTAACTTTCGACACCTTCATTGAGCCTAAACTTGCCACAGCATCACTTGTCTTTGCTTTAGAGATACTTTCAAGAACTCGGCCAATCAACAAAAAAAAAGTCAAGAATACGACAGAGTCAAAATATGTTGTATGGAATCCCATATCGTGTGCTGATATCCGCGAAGAAAGTCCTAGCAAGACTAAACTGGCAACATACGCAACGGTTGTACCTAATGACATAAGCAAGTTCATGGATCCAAATTTGAGGAAGCGTTTCCTATAAGAGTTTTTGTGCATCCAAAGTGAACTTACTTCTTTTATAGCCTTTTTGTGAAAGATATCCGTGGCAAAAAAGTAAACAGGAGTACTCAAGAAGAAGACAATCCACATCACTCGTGAGACATTTCCAACCCATAAAGGCTCTTCAAGCCACTTACGGAAACTGTTTTTCTTGGAGAGTAAGGACATTCCCAAAATACCGAAGATAAATGTTGGAATCCCGATAACTGTAGCAAGAATAAGTCTTTTTGCAACCTGCCATGTTTCTTGTCTCGTAATTCTTCTCAACTGTTCATCCATAGACACGTTTTCCTTAAGTTTGCAGCTGAAAGATGAATGATTGTTAGGGTCAACAATGTAGCCAACTTCTGTGTCAGCTGGATGGAGGTGATTTAAGTCTGCCAAAAAGCGTCTCACATTGACCTTGCTTTCGTAATCGGGTACATAAGTAATAGTAACAGACGGTTGGATTAAAGTAACCGCCTCATTGATAGTCACTGTTGCTTTGAAACTGTCAAGATATCTCATTATGGTCTCGCAGCATTTGGGCGAAGATATGCCTTCGACATCTATGGTGATTGTTCTTGATGACAGCTTTCTTGATGTGACATTGATTTCTTCTTTTTTGACAAGCTCAAAGTCGAAACCGCAATCTTCAATGACCTCCTGTAATTTCAAGAAGTTCTCGTTGTCAACGTTACTGGACCCAATAACGAAATGACCCATCTTAGTGATAGCGTCAATTCCGGCGTCTGTTACAAATGGAAGCTTGTTAACAGCTGACATGACTGTATTCACGCACGCAGCACATGTGATTCCACCAATGACTGCTGTAATCTTTTCGTGAACTTTCTGCAGAGCTGGCAGTACCTCAATAAGTTGGCAAGTAAAGCCTGCATCATCCACAGCTCCGACAATTTTGTTGATGAGTTGCTTATTGGGAACAATAACAGCTGCCATATGCTGTATTAAATTAACTGATACTGTTTCTTCTTCCTCATTGATCGGAATATTCTGTTCTTCAAACAATGCTTCTATAGCACCTGTAACTGATTGGACACATGCAGCACATGTCATTCCTGTTACAGAAAAAACCGCACGATATTTTTCGGTAACTTGCGGTGATGTATTTTCCGTTAGAGGCATGCTTGAGTCTGAAGTGGAAGGATCAACATATTCCTTCTCTTCCGTTCGGGCTGACTTTTGCAACTTGGATGTTTCCTTCTCTAAGGCATGCGCTCTCTTTTCTTCTGCGGCCTTTTCTTGACAGTAGCTGCATATATGAGCATGGTTTCGTTCACCTTGGACTTGCAAAAGCTTATCCCATAAGCCAGTAATGTTGGCAATGACTTGTGGACCACGAGACTTCTTTTCGTAAAATGGTGCAGAAGTCACTGGTTTCCCATCAAGCTCCATTTCCCATGATAGAACCGAAAAGCCAGCTTTGCGAAGCCCATTAAGAATTTCCTTTGTAGCAAGCAGCAAATCAGACAGATTCAAATCGCCAGTGCAATGGTAATACAAATCGAGTTGACCACCTAGTAAGCGGTAGAAGATCTCGTATGGAGGCAGACTCAAAATGCTTCTCCTTTTTGGCGGAGATGAAAAATCTTTGAGTTGAAAGCGCCTCGCTACTATCTGTCGCACTGCCACTTGACAATTGGGACAATGCACATTGGCGATACTAACATCAAGGTGCTGAACAGACATTGCCAATAATTGATAGGGCCAAAGTACGCTTTTAAAAGAAAAGACAAAAAATATTTTGCTCTACCATCCCAAAACCCGTATATAAGGGTTTTGAGTGATTAGTGCGGTTAGCGCGTTTATCGCCGTGCAGAACGCTTTGTCTAAAACGATGTGCGGCGATGTATGCATGCAACGCAAAAGTGTCTCAGTTCCTCTCCCTGATGTGGCTTATCTGGCTGATCATTTATTGCCACCAGAAATGTGTCTCCTTGACTTGCCACATGAGTCAGCTTTTTCATTTTTTTGGTTTTCCTTCTCTCGTTTGGCCTTTACTCTTGAAATGATCTTTTGATCGGTTAAGCCACAATATTGTATGTTTAGCCGGTAACAATGTGTCTGGAAGGGAAATGAAGCTCACAATCAGAGTGCGCGTGAAATGGAATTTCAGATCGCTGTTCGGTTAACAAACCTTCTTGAGCTTTTCCATAGGACTGATATTACAACCAGCACAAGGAAATGGGTTAACGCATATGAATGCGGTAAAGTATGCCCATCCCAGATATTGCTAAAAGTCGAAATGAGCATCACTAATATCCACTGCGAAGATACTGAGAGTGGTAGAATATGTGGCTTATGAGCACTGTAGGGGAGAGCACGTTCACTATGAAGACACAATCTCCTCGGATTGTTCGAGATCCACACGTATCGCTACCAAAGCAACAATAATCCCAGTTAAGCCTGCCAATCTTTCGCCCGCTGTGTGGAAAAACACGCTCGTGATGCAAAACTCTGTAAACCATATCGTCATGAGCAAAGCGGAAAGTATCCAGAGCACTGTTCGGCGACCACTTGGCGCTTGGCAGTTGGCAACATGCCAGAGCAAAAGAAATTGGCTCAGAAGAAAGTAATAATGTGACAGGACGTCAAAACCATCTATCCACGAGCAATTTACGCACTGTAGGCATTCACGCATCGTTAGACGCCTCTTTTCGCCATTGTCTGCCACACAATGCCCGCCCGATATTCTGTTTATCCGTTCAACAATCAGTGGGCCGAAAAACCAAGCTTGGAAAACAATAGCGCATGCAGAATTCAAGGCGTATGCGAAAAACGGCAGGCGGAGCTTACGCCGGGCCGAGATAATAAGGCCAAAGTAAGCAGCAGTAAACCACCAGTAGCCAAAATGTACAAAAATCGCGTTGAGTGATGTCAATCCCACATTCTCGTTGATAAGTTGCCTGTGTGTTCGCCCAAATGTGCCGAGAGGTAATGTGACAAGAAAGACAAGCACAAATACAAGTGACGGCCAAGCAGCATTTCGGAGCTCCATGGAAAATGTTTTGGCAACGGTGGCCATGTGTGTATGAGTAGATAAGCTTTAAGTGAGCGTGGTTTTTGTGCGACATTCTTCATGTGGAGAAGGCAGCGCGAGGTTATTCAATTCATGTTCTTCTATGCAGCTTGCAATAGTTTATTATTATCTTCCTCATCTTTGCTGTGATTTTTTTTTTCTTCTTTTCCGCAAGTTGTCATTCGTTAGGTTGGAAAAAATAGTAATGAAGGACTTTACCACAATAAGCCTCGTACAATGGATTGCGAAATTGCTGGCAGTGAAATGCATAAACGATCACTGCGAACCGTAGTCAAAATATGCTCGGGAAAAACGCCTACTAACCACAATGGATAGGATTTAGCGACATGCTTGATATCGAAGCTTCTCTGGAATGCAAGCCATGATGTTGTCAGGAACGGTGCAGCGACGCTATTCACGACAGGGATCTATCTTTAGATGTAGAATTATTTTTTTGGCTTTGAGTCGTTTGGAAAAGCTTCCGAAGAGACCCATTGTTTTCGGGTAAGAAAGTGCCAGTTAGCTCAAGTCCGCGTGTCATCGCCATTCAGAAGAGCCTATTTAATATGCTTTTAGTGATGCATTTACACTGCATAAATAATGATCTATGTTCCAACAGGACTGCTACAATTTCTTATTACCGTTAGTCCATATGGCACTTGAGGTATTGTAATGCATGTTGGTTGGAACGTTACTGGAGTGTTCCTCCAGGTACTATGGTATCTCTTCGTATGCTATCAATCAGGTGAATTCTGTATACCTGCGCTCAATGTCTTTTTGGTTTCGCCTGGAAGAGCTCGTATCCCATTATCATGCTCTTTTTATCCGCACCGTGTTTTACATTGCAGTGCAAGTTGCGAATATAGACCGGTAAGAACTGCAGGACGATAAGCTGATACAAGCGCACGTGACTGCCACCATTAGTAACCAACAACGCTAAACCTTCTTCACTTGCCAGCGGACAATGATATCCTCACGTCTATTTCCTCGGCTAGTAAGGCCATCTCTCTTGGTTTCGTTCCGTGGCGTGGCTACTCAAAGCTCTAATCCGCAGTTGAAGTTTCCATGTCTCGAACACTTGGAGAGAAAGACACAGCAATTGGAAAAATCCCATTTGGAAAGGAAAGCTCAGGGTGCACAGGGTGTTGATGCTGATGCTGAAGCGTGTCTGGACATCAATTCGTTAGAAGGTGGACCCGAACCGGCATACTCCAAAGTTGTCACTGGATTTGAACTCTACTCGAGCAATAAACCCATATTCTTTGATAATGGTGGACATTTGCCCAAGTATCAGATTGCCTACGAAACATGGGGCACGCTTTCTTCTGCGAAGGATAATATGGTTTTAGTTCACACAGGCCTTTCAGCTTCATCGCATGCTAAATCTCAACCAAAAAACGAAAAGAGTGGCTGGTGGGAAAACTTTATTGGTCCAGGCCGCTACATCGACACCGACAAGTATTTTGTCGTCTGCACAAATGTTTTAGGCGGCTGCTATGGCTCTACTGGGCCCTCCTCTATGGATCCCGCCGACAACAAGCATTATGGAACTAGATTCCCCATTATCACCGTTAACGATATGGTCCGGGCACAACGTGAGCTTGTGCGGGACGTTTTCGGTGTAGAGAAATTGCATGCATCCGTGGGAGCTTCAATGGGTGGAATGCAGCTGTTGGCATATGCCTGGGAGTTTCCAGATGAGGTTGATCGCATAGTCAGTATAAGTGGATGTGCTCGGTCTCATCCATATCTGATTGCTTTGAGACATACACAAAGACAAGTATTGATGAGCGATCCCAACTGGAATAGAGGCTTCTATTATGACGGTGTACCTCCTCATATTGGAATGAAGCTTGCACGTGAGATTGCTACAGTCACATATCGCTCTGGGCCTGAGTGGGAGTCGAGATTTGGCCGTATTCGGGCGGATGAATCGAAACCTGTTGCATTCTGCCCCGACTTTTTGGTGGAAACGTACTTAGACCATGCGGGGGAAAAGTTTTGTTTGGAGTACGACGCAAACTCACTTTTGTATATTCTGAAAGCGATGGATATGTTTGACTTGGGCCGTGTGAGCCGTGAAAAAGCACTTGAAAAACGACAAGCAGCCCAGAATGCCTTCTACGATAAGAAAAACGAGAATGTGTCCGAAACTGTTCCTAGTGAACCATACCAGGAGCAGATTCGAAACTCTACTGTCACCCCAGAAGAAGCATTGTCGGACTTGAAGGAAGGTATGCGCAAAATCTCTGACAAGAGAGTTTTGGTTGTTGGTGTGGAGTCAGACATTTTGTTCCCAGTGTGGCAACAGCGAGAAATCGCTGAAGTGTTGAAAGCTACTAGTTCTAGCCCTGACCACATTTCATACTTTGAATTGGGCACTGATGTTAGCAATTATGGACATGACACTTTCTTATTGAGCTTGGATCATATCGGACCACCAGTAAAGGACTTTTTGGGAAATTAGTATTCCTATTTAATGAATGACGAATACGATAAAGCATTTCGTAAGGGTCGATGACTCTATTCTTTCCGTACATTTAAGAAACTAGCACTGTGAACAGTACAATTTTGATGATCGATATTGGAGATAAATGGAATATGAATTCGCAGAATGGCCTTCATCAAATTAAAACATAACATTGTCAAAGATAACTACAAAGCTCAAAGTATTAAGAAGCAAACTTTGAATTTATGCTATTCATCTTTCTGAGAAAGTCAACCTTATTATTGAATTATCCTTCATATCGAAGTTTATGCATTAGTATTAACAATTTGTACTATATTCCGCCAAAAGGCGAGCTTGCCCGGGGCCATTCCCAGATATTCGAACCATATTCGTAACTTCTCATAATTAGCATTGTAGCTAGGCAATAACACCATACAGGCGGTCCAACTCGTAGCCTAACTTCCTGCTGAATGCGAATACAGAATCCCTTATCTTCACAACAACGACTTTAGCCAACCCGTTGTTCTTTTTCTTTGTTTCTGGATTATTCTCCATGTGCTGAGGAAGCAAATTGTCATGAGCGCTCAAGGACACGAAAAGAGCAAACGGAACAAGCCACACCACCAAACCAAAAAAGGAACAAACCTCTGTGAACAGCGGAATTCGTGGTGGTTGGTAGTCTGGATTCAACCTCACATCCAATGGTGGGATATATGGATTGTGGAAATGCTCAAACCACAAGAAATGGTTGGCAATAACCAAGACACATGAAAGAAGAAAAATGGGGGACGTGAATTGCACGTAGGGAAACTTCTCCAAGTTCCGCATGTAAATCAAGTAAGAAACAACCAGGAATGCAGTCAACTTGAAGGGAAAGGAATCAAATAGCCACAAAAGGATAAGTAGCACAATGATGGCTTGTATCATTCTTTTGAGGAAGCGTTTTGTTGGTTCGGTATGTTCTTCCACCATTTCCGAAATATAATAGAGGCCCAGCGCAATAGCTAGGACAAGAAAAAGGAAACCCAATACAACTCCAACATACGAAAGTAATTGCAAGAACATGTAGGGAAGGTAGTGAAATGAAACAGGATTAAAGATCAGAACAGTTGCTTCCCGAGCTTATTTGAACGTGAAGTGCATTTACATGTCGTTTCGTACCGCGACATAGAACAGGGTGTGCACACAGTTGCACACGGTCCAATACTTCCATGCATTTAATAGTATACTAGTCATAAATTTCGATAGGAGGTATCCGGTCCGTGTTGAAAAACCAATTTCCTCCCTCAAGCTCCCGCAGCAACCAATCAACTGGAAACAACACAAGATGCCCGTGAATCTCTTCGAGAATTCGTTGCGCGGTGTCGCGTTCAAAAATGCGCTCGCCAGCGTGGATTTTTCTCCGAGCGCTGAAGGTGCCTGCTCGTCTTTTTCGTGCCTTGTGTCCACCAGTTTTAGTTTGTTTTTTCTCTGAAGGAACGTGGTCAGTTTTATTTCTGTCCATCTCAGGCGTGGTATCCCCTTCTTCGTTATTGCTCGTAGATTTTGGCACTTTCTTAGCGTCACCGTTTTCATGTTCATTGTCATCATCATCCTCATCTATCTCATCATCGGTATCATCGTCATCACCTACCTCTTCGTTTTCTTCATTTTCGGCTTCGGCTATCGTATCTGTGACTGTAAAGCGTCGGCGTGGGCCATCTGCATCTCCTTTGAGTCCTGTTGGAATCTCTCCCAAAATACCGTTTTCACCTAGATAGTCTCCGATATTGATGGTAGCCTGGCTGTTTCGTCTATTGTGGCTGAGCTCAGGTCTTTCATTTGACGAGGAGGAGCTGTTGCGATGATAGCGGAACTTCCCACGCCTCAACTTCGCTTCTTCAATCTGCGAGAGCTTGAATGCTTCTTCCAATTTCATGAATCTCTTATACTCTTTCCAGTTGGCAACAAAGTCATCTGGCTGAACGTGGAAAATCATGCGGAAGATTTCACTATTCCTTCTGGCATTTTCAAACCAAATATCTTCGTAAAAATCGGGATCTAAAGGATCCTCAAAGCAGTAAGGATCGATGAATTTGGCGAAATTGTCTACCCCTGGCAGGTTTACCAGTTGAATTGCCTCACGAAGCTGACTGTTATCAAGGGACACAACAGGGATCAGTTCATTGAATTCGATGTTCGAAGTTTCGGATGCTTCATTCGCATCATCTTTCTTTCCGTTCTCTGTTGGCCCTTCTTGTTTCACCTCTAAAGCATCAACCACTTGGCCCTTCACCATTCTCTCATTCGCAGTCTCCCCACCCACTGGCATAGTGGTGGTAAATTGCTCTTCTTCATTTTCCTCTGGGATTTCTGAGCCCTGGTCGTAGATGGATGGAGGTAAACCGGCATTGACTCGTTTCATGCTTTCTTCCTCCTTCTGCTTAGTTTGGATAGCCGCAACACGTTGCAAGTAGGAGATCTTCTTCAAGAGTATCCACCGCTCTCTGTCTCTCTTGCTAAGGACTTCCTCGGATTCTTCATTCATATTTTCCGAGAGCTCATGATCATCCAGGTTTAAAAAGTCTTCGACGCTTGCAATGTCCGGTAGAAACGATTCTCCTGGGTTTGTTTCCATTACTTCTTTCGACAATTGGCGTAAGAACCTGGCGCTGTCGAGACGCCCTTTCGTGCCCATATTCGTACGGTATTTATCATGACCAATACCATACACATCTCTCTTATGATCAGTGTTATTTTGTACACGAGCATCGTAAGAGTGTTTCTTTTTGTCTCTTATACCTTTGTTGGCTTCGTGGGGTCCAGTTCTGTTGTTAAAGGAAAGCGGCAAAGATTTTGGCTCTGGACCATCGGTCGTTTTGAAATCTATTGGAACATCAAAAACTCTGGCATCAGGATTATGGAGTTTGCGGAAGTGTTTCCACCTTGGTGTGCCGTCTTTCTGTCCAAGAACAAATCTCGAAGCCATTTCGACAGCCGCAGATATTTCTAAATTGCATTGCTTCTTGAATTTACATGTAGCTGCTTCAAGTCCTTCAGGCGTTTTAGCAAATTCCTGGAATTTCTCAAACTGGCGTTCCACCACGTCCAAAGTGTCCACTGAGATTCCAAGATGTTCCCGCATGAGTCGCAACCGAAGTGTGTGAGGAAATCTCCCAACCGTATAGCTCTCTCCATCCATCGTTGTTTCAATCGTTTCACTATCCCTTACAACAGCGGCAACCTCGGAATCACGAACACCTCTCATCGACCGTTCATTGATGTTTGCGCTTCCAATAATCGCAACACGATCATCAACAATCATACACTTCGCGTGGATATAAAGCTGCTCGGTGACAAGCGAGCGGTCGGGTCCAAGAATACCCCACTTTCGCAATGAGAAGAATTGGATATAATTATCAGGATCAATCCCATATTTTCTGAGTTTGGCAAAAAGACTAGAAGAGCCTCTCGAAATCGACATGTATTCACATTGCATGACAACTCTAACAGAGGAGCCATTGGCTTCATCGACTTGAGATTCAAAACCAGGGAACAAAGGAATAATTATAATGGCTTTCCAAGTTTTGCCTTCCTTGTGGGCTCGAATGATACGATCGACAAGAGCGTCACCAATCCGATTCTTGATCTCTGTTCCATCAATGACACATGAAGTAACAAAAAACTGGTTTTCGATGTAAACAAAATGCTCAGACTCTTCAATTAATTTCAAATACGCTTGATGAATACTCTCTTCGTGCTCTTTCAAGCCAAGAGACCAATTGCCAGCAGATCTAACAATCTGAACTTCGCAGGTACCATCTAATCCCATTGACTTTACTTCTTCTTCTGTCATATCAGGAGGGGGTGTAAGTAACGGAGTCAATCTGCTGGGACGCTTTTGTCTCAAGAGGTAGTTCCATCTCTGAACAAAAGAACGCGATAAATCTCTAGCAACTTGGCCTGACGTTACCATATGAATGTCATGCCATGGCATACGAGGAACAACTTTCCTGTCGTAGATGGTTTCATATGGCTTGTCTAAGTTGTTGAAATCCTTCACACGTGTGTTGGAATAATCCTTACCAGGGAAAACACGGAATTCTGAGAAGTCGTTGTAGCCGTACGTTTCGGGATCAAGGGTTGAGAAATCAATATGAGAATCATCAGCTAAAACATGATCAGGAGTATCGTACCGGCCGTAGCATAAATCAATTCCTCCAAGGAATGCAACGGTATAATCAACGATGCAAATTTTTTCATGATGTGCCCAGAAGTAAGTGTTTTGCAAAAGTTGGTTGGGGGATCGAATGACATGGATGTTTTCCTGATCCAAGGACAAGATCGAATGTTTTGTGTATAGAGAATCAATCGGAATCGTAGTACCAACATTTCTGTACACGATCACGAAAACCTTGACACCCTGTTGAGCTTTCCGCTGTAAAAGTCTATCGATTCTAAACTGTTGATTACCGTTGGCAGGACGGCGGAGGTAAAGTTCAGGCGAAAGCCACCAATCATGGATAAAAATCACATCCTTGGCCATTTCGATTGCCGAAGAAACAGCCCAAAAGTAATCACGAGCGTCAACAAACCATTGAGCAAAGCAGTTTTTTCTCACTGGTGCAAAAGAACCGAATCGATGCTTTTCTGCCCAGATGTTGTTTCGAAGCATTTCATTGAGTGAGTCGAGCCACAATTTCTGCTCTCTCTTCGACTTAGGAATAATCACGAGCTTTCTCTCATTATTTTCAAGAACTATTCTCAAGTGTTTGAAAACCTTGTTTTGCATCTGAGCCACAGTATTCTCATCTCCCACAATTTTCTTTTCAAAATATTCCTCTTCGTAATCCGATTCGGAATCAAAGCCTCGGTTGTCGTTATCACCCTTGTAGTGGATTTTGAAGTAAGGATCAACAATAAAGACTTCTAGAGGTGTGGTAGAGTTGATATCCGACACGTACATGACATAAGTATTTCTGACCAAAAACCACTTTTCTGAGCGTCTATCAATCATTCCCTTGAGATCATTGGCTTTGAAATGGCCCACGCGCCATCCTTGCGACTTTGCTGATCCTCCTACATGAATAACACCTTGTTTACCGGTGTAACCAGTTTCATAACTCAAAAGAGCAGATATGGGGGACACTTCGAAAAAATGGAATAAAATATTTGACTGGGGCCGCATGGCCAAAGCCAGGGTCAAATCATTCAAATATTTCGTAATCTCTGTTAAGTATCTCTGATTGTTGAGGATTCTAACACGAAGTTGCTCTGGGGATGCAGAACTAGTTGATGAATTCGATGAGACTGTACTCAAGTGTGCTCTAAGAGTGGAGAGCCTATCACGAAAAGATTGGTTTGACATCAATGATTGATTATCTGTTTCAGCGTTCTGTAATTCCAGACGGAAATCGTGACTTGAATTGTTGGGTTCCAGTGCAAAGCCATCGAGTCGCTCTGAGATGGAAGATCTTTGTTTTTGCTTGTTTAATTTCTTCTGTTTTCTGTCACTTCGTTTTAACAGCGGAGGAACAGGGAAATGTGGAAGTTCTGATTTCAAACTGCCTTTTAAAATCAGCCATTTGAATTTCGAATGCAAGTAGAGTAAGTCTCGAGTGTTTTTCTCTACTGACCATCTCATGCGTTGGTCTGATACGCCGTACTCTAGGTCAATACGGAACTTCCGATTTTTCGTCAATGGGGACCTTGATATATCCGTGACCTTGATACCAAGGAGGTTAAGGAGAAGTGGAGCTCTGGCGATACCAAACTCGTCCTCACATAAACAAGATGCAAGTAAGCTGATTGCGGGCCCGCCCATAACCAAAGCACTTATCAATCCCTGTGCACGTTCTCTAGTTTCAGCATCCTCGTCTGCGAGTGAAATGTCGTCTTCGGCATTTTCATGAGCATGCTTGCGGTCTTTATCCTTATTCTTTTTCCTGAAGATTGTGAAGATGTTACGCGGTTTGGAGCCTTTGTCGTCGGCTGCTCCTTCATTCGAGCCCTGCTTGTTGAAGGCTGACGTATCAACAGATCCTCGGGTGAAAAAACTGGGCCGCTTCATGGCCGAAAACAGTTGCCCACTTTTTTTATGCATCTCTTTTGAAAAGTCGCTGAGCTGACCCGGCTCGGTTTCTCTTGTAGCTTCGCGTGGCTCGTTGCCAGAGTCACCTAAAACATTCTCCGACTCGTCTGGCGTAAATGGCACTTCACCCTTCTGCTGATCTTCCTCGCTATTATAGCGTGACTCTTTAGGGTCTCCGAAGATTCGAAACTGGAATGCATTACCGATCAGCTTAGCATCGTCCTGATTAGGAGATTTCCTTCCTGAGTGATGGTGCCGAGTCGGCAGAACAGGCTCAAAGCGGGAGAAAAAACTGCCGTTTCTCTTATCCACGCCTTCTTCCAGCTCCTCAGACTTCATCAGAGTTCCTTGGCTATTGGAGTTTCTTTGGTGATGCGGGGCCATTGTGCTACTCTAATTCTATGAAGCGAGTATGTTATTACTTCTTTGAGTGCGGTGTGCATAAAAAACCGAATGGGCTGGCTGTGCTTCGCCGTCTCGACTGTAATGGGTGATAAAAGAGAAAACAGCGATTCCAAGAACCAGTCTGCTTTACTGCTTGGAATTGGCTCTGTTTTATATTTTCTCTTTTTCGGGTTCTTTTTTTTTGTGTGTTCGGCTATATATTACTCCCTTCATGACTAAATGTCTGCATTGCGACACAAGCCTGTTCGATCGTGGATATCTGTATCAATTGTATTATGGTTTCGTCAAGCAGAAATACGTTTACTGGAATATTATAGTGACTAAAGATTTTATTCGTCTTTTCTACTATTATAGTTGGTACTGAATCTGTCGTGTCAGCAACCTGACATGCAAAGATGTTCTAAGAACTTGATCACTCCAAGATACTCACGCGAGTTCAGGTGATCTATCAGTAAATTGAGTTACTACTCCTTTGAAAGCTAAGAGAGCCCCATATTGAGAAGAGAACAATCTTAGCTTTCAGATCGAATCAAAGGATGGGTAAAATTAGACATTTCTATTCCTACTTAAGCCAACTTCTTTACCATTGACTCTAGTATTGCTCAGTCGTAAACCTCTGTCTAATGGCATTCCAGTCCACGACGTTTCCAGCTGTTCACATGATCCGGAACTTGATTACTTCAAAAATGACGTAATAAGACGTTGCTTCTGACCCAACCAGAGAGCGTACTCTGTATGATCGATAAGGTCCCCGTCATTTGTACGTGGGTGGATCAAAACAGACAACTTGTTGTGATTAAGTTGGTAGAAGGCCAAGACACGAGCAAATAAAGCCGGCTCGTACTTTCCTCCAGTATCCAATTCCCACATTGAAATTGGGTGTGGCCCAATTGGCTCTTCATGTGGGTTATGAAGCCGAAGATCCCCAGCCTCAAGTTCGGAAGCAAACTCTTTTGCGACTTTCTCCCTGAAGGAATTTGACCGTTTGGTTTCCTCTGGGTCGTTTTTGCGCCAGTAGGTGTGGAAATCGTAGCTGCGGATTGACATTATTGCCCTCTCAACTTTGACGTGCGGCGCCGTCCTTTATACGTTAAAGTGTGGACAGTATGGATATCGCGCGATATGGAACCTTGACTCCATATTAGTCAGCATGACAAGACGTTGACTAAAATAGGACAGAACTTTCTAGACAATTCACCATATTTATTCCGAAACCGATTCTCTGGAAATACCTTGCGGATAATGGCCGACGCTTTTTACATTGGGCTTACCATTAACATCCTTTGGCAACAATAGTGCTATCAAACAGGCATATCAGACATGCGCACATTTACAAACCCATCGATTTCGTCTTCGGAAGGAGGTGAAGGTTCTAGTAGGTCTGGTCTGCTGCTTGGGCGTCTTTTCCAACTTTGGAACCAAACACAGAGTGTTAATGCTAGCAAGCTGCCAAGAACATTGTAGATTATGTCCACAAAGTCGAATATCCTTGCTGGATTTACCAAATTCTGGATGTACTCCAGGCCCACGCAAGCGCCTAGGGTCATGCAAAGAAGAGTCAATTTCCATGGGCGGAACCTGTCCCAGAGGAAGTAAAATTCGGCAGTAAGGAGAAAAAAGGCCCCGAAATGGACAGCTTTGTCATGAGGTAAATGGATCAGGGCGAAACCAAGATATGCCGCCGCCAAAAGAGAAACAACAAAAACTGGGGTTAGTAGATTCTATGACATCGGTAAGTGAGACATACGGCACAACACAGGCAATCTTATCATGACTGTCCTGAGAATGATAGAGGTTTTTGCACAATTCCTGTTACCAATAGCTGTAACTCAATTTTTGAGCTCGACAACAATGCAGTATTTTGTTTCTGTTGATATGTTGGTAGAGCTCTTTGTGCCTGGATTACAATCGAAAACGTTTGTAAAACCGTATTCCTTCCGAGCAATAATAAGTGTCTGTATAATGAGGATAAACGATAGTGCGAAGAAGCTACTTGATTTAGTGAGTGCGCATCTCGAATTATTGCCAGATGCTTCTACCCCGGATAATCCGAGTGTCTCGCCGATCTTTGGCTTCAGTCGATTATCTAACACGTGCAGTTCCTTCCAAGACACCTGTGCCAGAAATCCCGGGAGGAAAAAGCCCCAAACCACAGTATCTACCGCCACAAGATGTATCGAAAATGATATATACACCGTTGGACTTGAATAACCGATATCGGGGGGATGGATATTATGCTCCAACAGCAGCGCAGATCTCTCACGCAGATGCATTTTTTTTCCGAGCGTCGTTTCGCCATGAGTGGACTTGTGCTCATTACAATGACTTACCTGGTGTTGGAACGGAAAGCGACAAGAAGCAAACCAAGGGTCACTTGCCCTTGCCAGAGATATTGTTGTTGGGCCACACGAACGCAGGAAAGCTGACTTTGGTGAATAATTTGTTCATGAACAAGGAGCAGGCGAAAAACACCAATGGTGCTCCGAGTTTGGCCTATGTTTCTAGGCGAGCGGGTTTCACCAAATGCCTAAACTGCTACAATGTTTCTGATACCATACGTATCGTAGACAGCCCAGGATATGGTGAGTTTGGCGAAGAGCAGCAAGGAGAAATCGTTTTGGAATATATTCGGCGACGCAAAGAACTAAGACGAACTTTCCTTGTCGTGGACAGCACTGCTGGCATTCGAGATGAGGATGCCGCACTTATTGATTTTCTTGTGGAGCATGGGGTTCCTTTTGAAATAGTGTTTACGAAAGTGGATGCTGTAGTGAGCCGGAAGTTCCCCAAAATAAAGATGAAGTCTTCAAAGAATAATGTGGAAGCGCGATTGGCGGCATTTGAAGCAGTGAAAGATGGAAATTCAAATGTGGTCGCACACTTTGATAGCATTATACAACGATCAGGTGTTGCGGAGTTGGCTGCTTTGCCCCGGCTCTTGTTCAACAACTCTTGTGGGAATGCATTACTACCCCGTCGTTATGGTTTTCGTGAAATTCGCTTTGCCATATTAGAAAGCTGTGGATTGGCTTTGGAAAACTCTGAAAGAGAGAGCCAGGTGGAAGAAGAGATTATCCATGCCAACAAATCTCGACGCAAACGAGTTGTGAGGAGAATGAATCCATTGAGTTGATTACAGTCTTTAGTAATGATGCCATCTCGAAGTCAAATACAATGAATGTATCAATTATGGCACCATTCTATCTTCAAGCCTCAAAGTCGTTGCACTTTGAACACCGGAAACCCTATGGTACGACTTCACTTAATAGTTGCAATGAGTTCATGACGTGGAATCACGATAGCTGCACTCGATTCATGTACATATTTCCTATCTAACAGTAAAACGTGGATAAGCTAGAAAAATGCCCGAGATGCGATACTCAGACAGTCTACTCTAGAGAAGTTAGCAGCTTTGGTGATAGTTTTCTCTCTACATTCAAGTCACCTTTTAGGAAATTTCTGTTCTGCCAATTTGTACGATTTTCGGGCATTAATATATGAAGGTCCCAAAGTAAGTCAAAGACATGTTGTTCTCGAGTAAGAATGACTAGATAGCTTATAGGCAAGTTAAAATGATCAAAAATTGCCCATACAATGTGTTTTACAAGTTGGCACTAATTGATACACGAACGTTACGCTCATGTTTGCCGTGATTTCGTAAACTCTCGTCATCACCATTTTTCCAGTCCTGTCCGTTCAAGTGTATATTTTAACGATGTGAGTATTGTACTAAGCGAGGAATCATGCAATCTAAAAACGTCCACCGCGGCCACCACGGCTTCCTCCACGGCCACCAAAGCCACCTCTCGAGCCTCCTCTGGCACCAAAACCGCCTCTGGAGCCACCACGACCGCCAAAGCCGCCTCTGGCTCCACCACGACCTCCAAATCCTCCTCTCGAGCCTCCACGGCCGCCGAAACCGCCACGGCCGCCGCGCGAAGCACCTGGACCAGCCTTTCTCTTGGGCTTGGGGCCAACTTCCTTTGGCTTAGGCAAAAAGCGCTCCAAGGGGAGCAATTTGTCTGGGCTGATGTAAAACTTGTCACCGTCCTTGAAAGAAGAGGCCTGAACACCCTCGGAAGGTTTGATAGTGAAGAAAACCTCGTTCAAGGGACCCAAGATTTCGTCAACCTTACCCACCTGTGTCTTGTTTTCCAAAAAGATGGGCGCGTTGAAGTATGGAATCTTGACATTGATCGAACGACACACAATGTCACCTTCGCAAGCATGCATGAAAGAGCCCATCTCCAAAACCGTTTCTGGGGGACCCTGTGGGGTTTGTGAAAATCCACCACGGCCGCCTCTGAAGCCGCCTCTGAAGCCGCCTCTACCTCTGTTCATAATGTAGTGGTTTTTTTTTTCTAGTACTGGGAAATTTTTCTGCGGCGATGACTTGGGTGCGAAACCTGGTGTACGGATGTAATCCCACTCTAGAGTGGATACAACATTCATGAGGAAGCGGCATATATAAAGGACAAGTAAGTAAGTGAATACATATTCGAAATTTTCTATTCCTGGTTTCATGACAGATCAATGTAGAATTATCTCTTACATTATGAGGCTGCTAAAATTGTCATGCCGGCTTCCTCCCATCAGAGTAACACTTGTCTTGTCTCGTAGTGGTTTAAGAACGAGACTCGTTCTCAGTAATAGAGCCTATGGAAACAAGAATATGGTTTTACTTTCCGAAAATCTAGTTTGTAAATGTGAATTTTGATGTCACAGCCTCATAGAGGTGAATCTGGAACTGAGATGGCACAATTTCTAGTTAATGAGTCAAAGTACGAAAGTAGGCAAAATGCTCATTTTTGGCGGAAAGAGACGTGAACTTTAAATGCTCGGTTCCAAAAAAACACATTATTTTCTTTTAATTAATTAACTAAGTTTCTAGAATCTTTATCAATTCTTTAGTCAATTCAGTTCGTACAAGCGTTCCGATTGTGATATTTGTAACTACTTCCCTAAAATGTGGGCAGTATTCTTATTCTCCATACAATCACACATCAAGTAGTACATCATCATGGCCAAAATTCAGAAGTAGCACATCTGAAGAAAAGGGAATAATAGAAGTAGGTTAGTCTATCTCTGAAGGAGAAAGATCTACGGTTCTATACTTAAAATAGTCTTGTCATGTGAGAGAACACTTACCAATTATGTAGTGTACATGCTGCGCGGAAAGAGCCAAGCCCCAACCGAACTGAATTTCAATCGAACTGTCTTAACACTAGAACAGAATAGGATTGTGGAAGCATAATTTCAGGAATAGTTACATTGCTGCTAGTGTCTTTCCCTTCCAAAAAAAATAAGAATATGAAAGGGCCACCCCATACTCTATATGTCTGATCGACAACCCCAATACTACTTCCATTCCGGTGTACGGGTGTTTACTTGATCAACCGCACCCCGACAACTCCTATCCCGTAATCATGAGTGTTTCTCGGAATTATAGTGGGCAAACTTCAGACACCCCCAAATTCGCTGTGGGTCTCACTCCAGAGGAAAAAACTCTTTACTCGCAATTGTTCCGTGCTTTGGATCCCGATGGCTCAGGCATTGTCACTGGAGAAAAGGCCCGTGCCACATTTGAGAAATCTGACTTGCCGCCTAGTGTTTTGGGCGAGATCTGGCAGCTTGCTGACCAAGATAATGTGGGATTTTTAACGCAGTTTGGTTTCTGTTATGCCATGCGCTTGATTGGGGCGACTCAAGCTGGCAATCGCCCATCGCCGGCTCTAGCGGAGAAGCCAGGCCCGTTACCGCGTTTCTCAGGGTTGCCTCTTTTGCTGGGGCCAGGCGCCAATGGCACTCACTTGCAGCCACAAGGAACAAATTCGTCTCTCTTGCAGACTCAGCCTAGTGCTTCAGTGCCCCTTTCTGTTGGTCAGCCTCAGTCCCAGGAACCTGTGGCGCCCGTGTCCGCAGCAGACTACCAGCGCTTCAGCCAGATGTACATCAAAACTACAGGATCTGCAACTGCGCTATTGGATGGTGCATCTGCGCGTGATATCTTCCTCAAAGCGAAATTGCCCACAGACACTTTGGGTCGTATTTGGGGCTTGGTGGATGTGAACAATCGCGGGGCTTTGGATTTACCAGCGTTTGTGATGGCAATGCATCTCATCCACGGTGTTCTCAGTGGCACTTTACGGACTTTGCCCCCATTCTTGCCTCCTCATGTCTGGCTGTCTGTTCAAGGACAGGCATCTGAGCGCCTGGTGTCTAATGCGAGCGCAACAGCGCCTGGAGGAAACGCTTCTTTTAGTTCTGGATCTGCAATTCGCTCGCCACTGCCAGCAGGTGACTGGGTAGTATCAGCAGCCCAAAAGCAACAGATGGATGCGATTTTCGACTCGTTAGACAAGGAACACACGGGCCAATTGGGAGCAGACCAGGTCGCCTCGTTTTTGATGACGTCGCGCTTGGATCAACAAGATCTTGCTTCAATTTGGGATTTGGCCGATATCCAGAACACCGGTGTGTTTGGAAGAGTGGAGTTCGGCATTGCCTTGTTTTTGGTTAATAGAAGACGTGCAGGACAATCGTTGCCAAACGTGGTACCAGACTCGTTGATCGCGTCGCTTAGACTGACTAAGCCCCAACAAGCTCAGTCTCAACCTCCAGCACCTTCTCAGCCTACTCATAATCAGATTTCTTCATCCCAACTGTTCCAAGGCCAACCTGCGCAAACCCTGTCAGCTCAGCAGACACTGGCTTCATCCGGTCCACTGGCTGCTCCTCCCCAACCAAGGTCTGCTCTCGATGACTTGGCAGATATTTTCAGCTCGCCGGCTCCATCCAAACCAGCTTTGCAGTCGACCTCTAGCAGCAGTGATTTGACATCAGCAGAGTTACCTAAGGTGCGTAAACAGGCGACCTCATCCTTTGTCCCAACTTCGTCTTTCAAGCCAACTCTGACTTTTGGCCAGACTTTGCTTCAGTCTAAGGATACAAGCTTAATTGGTGATGACGTTTCGCAAGCGAAACCGCAGACTCCTGTGGAACCACCGAAGCCAAAGTCTGTGGACACGCCTAAGGCTGTGGACTACGAGGCGTTACGCTCAGTTCCTCCTCCTCCTCCTAAGGCACGCGATTCTTCCCAGGCTTCGGTTCAATCCCCTGTATCTAGCCCATACTCGGCTCAGCCTCCTCATTATTCCGGTCAGGAGGTGAACAAACCTTTGAACCGCGACACATTCCAACCCCCACAACCAACTACTCAATCCAGCCAATACGACTTTCCATCTCCTGTGCGTGGAAATTCCGACTTATTAGCTGATCCCAATAGCGAAATCTCTGGCAAGTTATCTGAAGCAACGTCTGATATTGCTAATATTTCGAACCAAGTTAAATCCTTGTCCGGTCAGACATCCAACTTACACGAGAAGAAAATACGCTCCGAACAGGAATTGGCACGTATATTGGCCGTTAAGGAAGATATTGAAGCCAAGTTGCGCCAATTACGCGCTTCATATACTAATGAGGTGAAACAAGTCGAACAAGTGGAAGCTAATTTGGCTTCTGCGCAAGAAGAGAACGAGGCATTGAGATCTGAGGCATCTATATCTGAGGCTAAGCTCAATCAGATCTCAGGTGAGCTTAATGAGAAGCAAGTTGCTGTTGAAGAGCTCCAAAAGACGAACTCTGCGCTCAAAGAAAAATTGGGCTACATGAACGCGGAGATCTCTGAATTGGAGAAACTGATTGAGGCTAAGGTTGCAGAAAACAAACTGTTGTCCAATGAAGTAAGTATCAAGAAGTCGCAGTTGCAAGTGGCAATTGTCAAGGTAGATGATTTCAAGAGAAACATCACTGATCTTGAAACATCGAATGTCAAGCTCAAGGAGGAAATAGAACGCGCTCACCAAGAGCGAGTTGCTGCTGAGAATCATGCCAGGGAATTGCAACTCCAGCAAGAGAAATTACAAGCTCAACAAAAGGAACTTCAAGCACAAAGTGAAGCAGCAAAGAAACTGTCAGGCTCTAATATTGGTGCTAAAGCAATTAGTGCTGTTGCTGGTGCCGTGGTTGGTGGTGCAGCTGCTGTTGGAGCTCACGCACTTTCGAGTGGTAGCAACGAAGCTAAAACATCTCAAGAGGTTCCTTCTGAAGCTACTCCTACCGGGAGAGAAGTCTCGGAGCCAATTCCATCTGTGACTGAATCAGCTCCTTCTGCTGTTTCAGCGAAGGATGTTTCTGGTCCGTCTGCAAATAATTCAACTACTTCTGAATCCGCGGAACAGAAGATGCCAGGATCACTTGATTTCGATGACCTTCCCGATGCAACTGTAAGCGGCTCAGACGTGGCAAACATCCACGTGGATCAACTTGTGGAAAAGCCCAGTAGTGACATGACCGGTCTTGACAGCGGAATGGAAACCAAAGAACTAGAGGCAACAGAGTACGAACCAGAAGACTTGGATGGGCTCAAAAGACGTTTCCCCGAGGTGGACTACGACCAGACGGATCAAACTGTTTCCTCTTCTGGGGTGACTGGCTCCTTTAGACCAACCGAAGGCGCTGAGACACCAGTTACATCACCAGAGAACTCCGAGTACAGGTTCCTGTCCGCTAACGCAGGGGTGGTTGGCAGTATGGTCGGTATGCCAGGTGTTCTCGTTGGCGTTCAACGCACGGATTCTTTGACATCAAGCGTCCAGAATAATGCCTCAATGTCTGTTCGTGATGACAACATTGATAACGATAGCGAACGCGAAACTTTAGGAGAGGATCCTACTGGACAAGCAGATGTGGGTAAAGACATCAAAGTCGATGGCCAAACGGAAGATTCCAGTGAGGGTGAGCACCATTCATCTGGTGTTGGACTGTTTGAATTGGTGAATGCGGAAGATGCGAAAGGACCAGAAAGTCAATCGAATGTGACCGACGCTACTGTTCTGACTGAGGAGACTGTATCTGTCCATCCAAGAACCACAGATGAAGAATTCCCACCAATCAAAGAGTTGGACTATGACGAGTCGTCTTCTTCCTCCGATGAAGAATCACCTGAAAACTTTGATGATGCCGTTGATAATTTGGGCACAGGTCCTTCTCCAGAAAGTGAATTTGACGATGACTTCAATAGTCTTGCACCAGCAGAAGAAGAAAAGACGAAAGAAGTGCAAGACGATTTCTTTGACGAGGAATTTGATGGGCTAACGGCAGCAAATGAAGACAAGGAGGTATTTGACTCTGAACCACAGGATATCTCCATTGATGATCATTTCACTGGAGCAGCTGAAGTCAACGAGTTTGATGGAACAAGAAGTGCAATGCCAGACTTTTCTGCTGCAGGGTCCGGTGCGCAGGATAGCAACGACGAATGGGAACAATTGTTTGCTGGTTTTGGATCCGCTGGCGCAGTTGCACCAGCTGGTGCTTCCCAGACCCAGGCGTCTCACGACCAGCCCTCTGTGCAAGATTCCTCAAAAGATTTGGCTATTGAGGAATTAGTCGGAATGGGTTTTGAAAAAGATGTTGTTCTCAATGCTTTGCAAAAAGAAAACTGGAACATCGAAGCAGCCACAAACTACTTATTGGACAATGCTTAAGACTATGTTAACTGTTTATAGTGTAAATGTGATTTTGTTACTATGTGCGAACGCAATGATGGGAGTTTATGAATGATTCTACTAACTCGATAAAACCAGGCCTGTCATTCAACTATTTCAGTTTTATTTAACATTTTGCTCATTCAATCAGCATAGGTTAACTTTGCAAGTGCTTCCTTCACTTCACCAAGGTCTTCTTCTTCCTTGTTCAAGTCCTTCAAGTCCTCGACGGGTCTTTCAGCTTGAGGAGTGATTCTGAAGGCATGTCTTGAAACAGGCTCGTCCCAATCGATAATAGCAGAATGCACGACTCTTCTGTTGTCCCAGACAACAACTGACCGTGGCTCCCATTTTGCTCTCAATTGGAAATCGTGGCCAGACTCAATGTGCGTGTACAAGAAGTTCATCAAGTAGTCGGACTCCTGTTCCTTCAACTCGACGATTCTTCTCGAAAAAGGTCTGTTCAAATAGATAATCTTTTCCTTGGTAACCGGGTGTGTTCTGATCAATGGGTGGATGTGAGAAACAGGCTTTCTTCTCTCCACACCTCCTTGTCTTCTAGCATTTGCTGCTTGGTCACCAGAAGTGTGCAAAACGTGCAAGCCTTCCAATCTTTTTTGAAATTCAGGTGATAATCTTTTGTAAGCCTCAACGGTGTCTGCGAAAATGGTGTCTCCACCAGCTTCAGGACCGTCCAAAACAGAAAAGAATGTGATTCCAGGAGGCTGGAGCTCGTAAGAGACATCGGAGTGCCATCCAACAGCATGTGTTCTTTCGGAAAACACTCTCTCGAATTCCGCAGGATTTGCTCTTCTGTAGGTAATGTGCAACTCTGGGTGGTCCTTGGGTGCACCAGAGGTAGGGTGGATATGCAATCTTCCAAAGTGCTTGCCGTACTCCACTGCAAAGCCTGGACCGTGAGTAGCAAAATCCTGGTCACGGAAAATCACCACGCCTCTCTGGGCAACCAATAATGCCAACTCGTCTTTACCCTTGGAGTCCAATTGAGACAATTGCACACCGGTGACTTCAGTACCCAACTTTGGAGTCACTTTTTTAGTCTTGAAGTCTCCATCAGCGGGAAAAAGATTGGGGAAAGATGGGTCAGCCCTGTGACCAGGATCTTCATGCTTGAAGAACTTCAATGGTGGGTACTTTTGGTTTGGGTTCCAAGTAGGCAAAAAGTCCGGGAAAGCAGCAACGTCTCTTTCTGCCTTTCTAATGGTGAGGATTCCATCAGCAGTAATTTCGTCTGTCTCCTTGTTGAAGTGGGTGTCAAAGTTTCCCGATTGGCGAGTCTGAACCATTGTGTTGATGCGACTGATTTGCTTGTCGTATGAAAGTAAGACGTAGCTTGTCTCTTGGCAGCCCAGAATTTGTGTCCTTTTATGTCATTTTGCGGCGCTTATTCCGCATCAGGAGCCACAGTTCGCCAATATTTGTATAGGTTTCGCATAGATAAGCAAAATGGGTGCGAAATTCCACTAGGACATGTGACCAACCGTTGTTTTCCTGCAGGCAGACTGTGGGTGATGGTAAGCGAGCCACAGTCTAACGGAGATAAAACGGGAATGCAGCAACCATCTGCATAAATACCCCATCACGCAATGCCGTCAGCGGAAATTTCAATCATTGGTTCCTCTAGAATTAACTTTTATTGCAAAAGAAGGTATTGTTTTGCCTGAAAACCTTACGATCTTAACCTGATGTTGACAATTGGAGATACAGGTTTGAGTGCCAAAGTGAGATCTCCCTACAGATTACTAAGCACTATATACATGCACATTTTGCAAGACATTCTGCCGTGAAGATTTTCAAAAGGCAATCGTAACACAATAGCTCCCAATTCGAAGTACCATAAGCTGACATTTTTGTTGTTAACTATGTAATGTAGCGCTTGTATATATGGTGGAGCTGAATAGAAACGCAAGCCTCTGAAGGAGAAGAGTCAATTGATCTGGGATTACATCGAAAAGGGATTCTGAGTTTGATATGCCTTTGCTAGATCCCGTGCATTCTCGGCAACCCACTCTTTGAACAATATAAAGAAAGAACAAAAAAAAAAAAAAAAAAAAAATCAGGGAATCAGAAGTTATTTCGTCCGGGAAGTCGCAGCTTCGCATCATATGCATGCCTTGTCGTAAATCTATTGTCCCTAACGTCTGGCGATCTATACAGAGATTCCGATAAAAATTGCTTATTACGTGAAACAACAATATCCTGAACGATACAGCTTCGCTATCTCGTGGCATTTTTGATAATCTAATCGGGCTGCGGACCTTGCTGTATGGTCACCATTGGAGCGCTTTAGAATACCAATATCACTTGTATCAGCAATAGTGATATGCGAATGATCAACAAGAGAGCACCTTAAATTAGGAAAGCTGCAAGTTGTTCTGGTCTACATGGCAAAGTGACTTTGTGTCCTCCTTGTCCTTCAGTAAGTCAAAATTTTTCATTCCTATATTATTATCCCAGTTAGCACTGTTAACAATGCTCCGTGTGAGACCCTGTCCGAATTGTCTCCCATTTCCGTCCCATACTAGTCCTGCTAGTACTCAATCAGCTTTTGATCTGACATAATTCCCGGTCTGCGCCAAACGAAGTGACCACAAACTGAGCCATCTTTGCTTGTTTCTTGGGACGGCCGGGCTTGGTAATCTTGTACTTGCTTGGAGGGAGCTCCAAAGGTTTGATTTCTTTTCCTGAATCATCAGCGCTAACTCTGGGCGACTGGATGGGCGAAGGATAAGCACTGGCGCCTTTTGTGCTTTGTGGCTTCTTTTCGGTTGCAACCACGGCAGGCGATACTGATTCAGTTTGCTTCGCTTCTTCGGACCAACAGCAGTCCATAAAGTTCCGGATACATGCCTGGCACTTTCCGTCGACTTTCACCTCGTCACACTTCTTCTTCCGTCTTCTGCAAGTCAAACATCCTGTTTTCGTTCTCTTTTTCGTCACTGTTTCGGCCCGAGCCTTTGGTTTGGTGGTGGAAGTGCGCTTGCACCCAGAAGTTAGGGAAAACACTTGCTGGTAACTTTTGTAGTTCACAGACATTGGAGTAAGAGAAGTAAGTAAGGTAAAATTTCTCGTGGACATGTCATTTTGCTTATGGTAGCAAAAGCTCTGTTTGCCGATGATTCACTGTCCCATAATGGCAACCCACAGAGATAGCCGCGCAAAAATTGCAACCGAAGGCGAGAAATGGTGCGAAAATAGTGGGTCTCTCGGCTTCTGCTGCTTTTTGTGGCAGTGCCGTCCGCGAAAACGGCAACCACACACGAAAGGCGCCAATACCTCCTGCCGTTTTAGGTTTACTACTGTCTATGCTTATTCAGTGTCGCGTGAGTTTCTTTCCATATACTTTAAAGCTGGGGTAGAATGTCTGGTTATAGGAACATAGGCTTCGCGAAAAGTTCATTCGCCTTTTAGGGCAATTGCGATGCTTGGCGTTTCTGTCTCTTCCTCTAAGGTTTCCACCTCTTCACTATTTTGGAGAAGTGCTTTTTGGTATATACTATCAGATACAGATTCATTACCCACTATTGGTCTTGTGAATCTTTTGTTTCGTTAAAAGACCATGCTTCTCTTCTAAATTTGTCGTTCTCTGTGGATGTCAAGTATTCTTGATTAATCGTTTCTAAACTCTAGTCGTTTACAATTTTCTACAGAACCTGAAGGATCACGTTTGAATTTTCTTGTGCAAGTACGCTTTCTCCCAAGGCTAAAGTAGTACTAACAATTATTGTATTGAACTTAAATCGTTACCATTAGGGTTTCGTGATTGCGCATTTCATGTCAGGTGTGTTACAAATGAGTATCCCAGTTAGTTTCTAGTAAACTTTTCTGCTTGCGTGTTTGAAGTCTCGTAGTTTGATTTTCCACAATTGCCATCTATGCCTTTCCCTTCTCGATGAAGTTGTTTGTGTTTCACTGTATACATAGACTCTTTCTTCTGAGGAACTGATCTAGTCTCGAAGAATGATAGTGCCTTATCCTAGTACCCAGTAACATCATTCAGCATTTGCATCAGCGCCAATTAGATGCTGCCTAGTGTAATAGCTCATAGATTTTGGTGTTCCTAATTTATCTTTTCATTAATGACTTCTGGTCCTGTGCTTTGGAAACACTGTCATTCACTTCTTCGTGCAAGACAGTCTTATGTTAGTAATCTCATCTAGTCTACCTACTACATTTCATTTCAATTCTTCAGCATTAGTCCTTATTCCTATGTACATCGTGTTCCTCCCAGGGAACTTAAATTCTATGTCTGTTTTCCTTGGCAGCATGCAAAGGAGACCAGATCCCTCTAACAGACTCGTTATTCGACATGACCTTGTGGTTGAACTTGAATGGAGCGTTTCCGCTCTTTTGGCTGTGCTCAACCAATTTCTTGGCCAAATCCAATGCAGATAAGTTTCTCACGTCAACAACATTTTTCGCTCCGTTGTTGTAGTGGAATGTGACTTGTGGGTGTCCATTTCTTTGAACAATCTCCAAAACTGTATCCTTGTTCTTCTGGGCAAAAGTTCCGAGGTTGTGCTTCGATTGGGTCAAAAAGTCTCTCACTCCTTGGGAAGAACCACCCCAGTTGCAGTACTGAATGCTGATTCTATAGCATGGCTTGACTCAAATGAAGCTACACCATTGCGGGCCAATGAGACCTTGGGAATAGCTTTGACTGGCATATTTTGGATGGGGCACTAGTGAATGAATTTTTTCTTGATCTTTTCAGGCTCGAAATGTTGAGAACTAACTACTAAGATGCTATATGCACACCAGCTATATTCTCTGGCTCATTTATTTTTCACTTCAGACTTACCTTGATCACACCGCGGCCTCACCGCGGCCCTCCTCCGCGGGATCGCCGCGGACCCCTCGGACCTATCGTATCTCGTCGGGATCTCCCTATCTCATATCTGTCCTCGGGACTTCCCGTTCTCCTATCTTACCTTGAAGGTCACTTCCGTAACAGTCTCTGGTATATAAGATCACTACTTTTCTCTCTGTGATGGATTCTTCTCTAAGGATCATCCCATCCCTAAATATCAATCCTAACTATACGGTACTTATCTGAAATGTCAACACCAATCGTCAACACCGAAGGTACTCGCTCCAGCTCGTCCTCTAGTGACTCTTTTGGGTTCTGTTATCGATTCAACAGCTAGAAATATGAGAGTGCATAGAGCAGACGCTATTGCGCTTTCTGCTTCACAGGTATGAGCCGCTCTAGGATCGAAAACTC